CTAATTCATAGTAAGTGACACTAAAAACAACTTATTTTAAATTTAATAAAAAAGGTACATACTTATAGAGTTTTTTTTTTTTTTGTGAATTTTTTCTGTACTGTTAAGTGACTGTTTGTTTGCTGAATTTAAATTTTTAGTTCTGTTGTTTGACCATTTACACAGTTTTCATTAGAACCTTTAAGTAAAGAGTAATTTTTTTTTTCTTTTTAATTGCAATCTTTTTATCAAGATGCATTGTCTGCTCTATGAATTGGTTCTGCCATAAATTCTATAAATAAAAATATTACAAAAGCGGCTATGATTCTTAATTTTATAAAATTATTATTAGACTGTCCTTTAAATTTCCTGATTATTTTAAAACTTTTTACAGCGCATATTATTATATAATATAAAATTTTTAGAATTTTATTGTTTGGCTCAAGCTTACAAAATTTTGCTTGATAAGCATTTAAAACATCAAGAGCATTAATTGTACACGACATCACACGATAAATCTCTAATATTTCAAATTTATGATGAGTTTTTAGTTTTATTTTACTTCCTATAGATTATTTAATTATTAAAAAATTGAATTTTGGAATTTCGTCCCCAAAATAATTCTTTAATTAAAAGACTTCTTCACCTGTCTATAGCGATGCAAAATTATTAAACATTCCCTTTTCTAAATTATTTATATGAATTTAATAATTGTAAATGAGGAAACTTTATAAGTTAAAAGATTTAATTTACTGATACTTTTATTTAGAAAAATTAACAACAATTGTTTTAGAAACCATTGAAATAAGTGCTATAGTTTTGTTTTATTTACAAATGTATTATTAATTTTTAGTTTATACTTTTTATTTTCAGTGAAATGGTTTCAATTGCCTTTCTTCATTTCCTTGTTGAAAGCATTATATGCTCAAAGTTTCATTTGATTGATGATGGAAACAATAATCGAGAGTTGGAAATCTGTACCTGGATCGAATTCACATAATAGACTGCCGAAGTTACGCTTTTTAGATAAAGATAATTGAAGAAGTTGAGGAGCGGCGGTGGGACAAAAAAAAACGGGCGCGGAATGCCGCGCCGCTAGAAAAGGAGCAGCTTCTGTGGAGAGGAGTGACGTCAGTGCAGGTGGAAGGTAAAAGGAAGAGGAAGGTCGAGAGCGACCTGAGAGAGCGAGCGGCCTGCCTGACATTCATTGTCTTCTTTTTTCACCTCTGCGCGCCGAGACCAGTCGTGTCTGCGGGGCTCAAAAAACCAAACCAGCTCGGCGGCTCCACTAGATCTCAACTCGCGCAGCATCAAAACCAGAGCGGCTCGTCTCTCTCGATAAATATACCGTCCGACGGAAATTTCATGTAACGAAAAATTGACCGTCGTCGGCGCTAAATTGCCTCCGAAATTGGATTGCCAATTTTTCACAAACAAATTGCCTTATAAGTTTTCCATCTAGATAATCCAAAACTGTGATAAAATGTTATTTTTTAATTTTAATTTTAAGAATGAAATTTCAAAAAATTGTCAAAAAGTTATTTTAATTAAAAAGAAATCTAAAAAATAATCCATTTTTATACATTTTTAAGATTTTATTTTTTAAATTAGTAAATTTAAACTATTTAAAATTTTATTTATCCTATTTTTGTTATACTAAATTAAAAAATTTGGTAGTAAAATTAAAATTCTACTTTTGCATAGACATAAAATTTTGAGTTTGAATTAGAATAAGTGAATAACTGGTGAATAAGAAAAGTTATTACTAAATTTTAGTAGATAAAATTAATTATTTTTCCTGGAATCATTCAAGTGTACAAAGTTGAAAGCGTGACCCGCCCTACGAGCTATTAGGATGTGGCGCTGCGTAACCCTGAACGCAAAGGTCCTAGCTGAACATTCTCTCAGGTTACTCTGCGTGATATTCACACAACACACCTCTTCCTTTTCGGGAGAGACCAACCCAAAAACCAGGTGAAATTGAAAGTGCGCGAAAAATTAGCAACATCCGCCACAAATTAAAACACGAAATACAACAATAATGAGAGAAAATTAGACATCAATAAGAGGGAAGTTAAAATAATCTTTTCGTACTTTATTTTTGAATTTTTTAATCTAGTTTTACCTTCACTATGATTTTAATTACAAATTTCATATTTTTATTTGAAAAAAAACTATAAATTAATTAATTTGTGTGACTCTAAAAATAAAATAACAAATTCATGCCCTCTAAAATATATTTAGAAGTGAAAAAATTAACTCGAATTTTATGGACTTTTTTCAAATTATTATTTTCAATGTAATGATTTGAGCTTAATTAACAAATCACAATAATTAGGAAATAATAGAGAATAATTTCATTTCAAATATTTTTATTGATTTTTATGCAATACCTTTTAATAAAAATTAATCTGTCTCCTACATTAATAAAATTATTTATTATTTTGAACCCAAAAGGAAAGCAATTTGAGAGAAATATAAAATGCCGGAAATCCGTGTTGTTTTGAGTGTCAGTGGCTTTTGACCTGGTGTGTTTAGGAGCCAAGCTCAGGAAAATTTCCAATTGAAATGAGCTGGCTGCACTTGAGCCGCTGCCAAAGTTGGCAGAGCGCGCGCATGTCACCAAAGGTCACGACCTCCACCAGCATTAAAAAAAACTTCTAATGCAAAAGATTGTTGTGTCGCGTCAAGTGCATTCATGCAGGCGCACACGCGTGATCAATTTCATTCCATTTTGATCTAAAAAGTAAATTAATTGTTGTTTGAAAATTTTCCTTAAAATCTTTTAGATCTCAATTAAATTAATTATAATAAAAAATAAAAAAATACAGAGAGAAATGGGAAAAAATTAAGTGATCGTTTTAATTTGAAATTTTATAATCTAAAAATTTTGCTACTGTTTTTATCTTTTCCCCAAACACGGTGCCCGATTTATGCAAATGGGACGTTTTTCCTGCAAAAACCTAAAGTAAACAACCGCGTTCTTGCCTAACGTAAACAATAGCGGCGCTTCAGCGGATTACACAAATAAAAAGTCACCCATTCTACAAATCCCTCTGCCGTTTATTTAGAATAAATATGTTAAGAGAAGGTCTCTTTATCTCTAAAAAAAGACAATTTTTCAAAATTCATAATGTTGGATTAAAAAAAAAACAGAAATTATGAAAGAAGATAAGTTATAACAAGATATTTCTTCAATAAAATAATCTGATATCGAGTTAAAGGGTATTTTTAATTTAAAATGTAAAATTAATAACAAAGAATACAACTTTTTTTCCCCTATGCAAAATGCTTAAAGTTTTCTAATGAAATAATGCAGTTTAATTTAGAAACTATTAATTGTCAGTAGTAATAATTTGGGTAAAATATGTCTAAAAAAAACTCTATATAATGTTATAGCAAAAATTTAATAAAAGAAGAAAGTAACAATTAAAAATTAAAATCTGGAAAATCCTTTCCATGAAAAATCCAAAAAATGTTTTTATTTCTAAATTGTTTTGTTGATCAAACGATTTGTGTTTGGATGAAAATAAATTTCGAAGGAAATTAGAAAAATAAGAATTTCTGCAGTGCTAATATTATATTAATTTTGATGACACATATTATACATAGTTTGTCGTTGGAGCGCGCGAATAAATGAGCCCGCAATCATTTCATTATTATGCCGCGATGGAAATTTGCCGGCGCACACCACTTTGGCCGGATGACCCCTCAAGTGTTTCGTGACCCCTGCCCTTTGCGACGCGAAAAGGTCACCGCGTGTGCAGGCCGAGTCATGGCCATAATGCGCATTTTAAAAAATTGCTCGCCTCAGTTCTAAATTTGGCCACGCATGAGCTTTCAAATGCAAATAATTAATTTAAAATATCAAAGTTTTGCAATAAACAGCAATAAAAGAAAAGAAATATATGTTATGCAGATTATTTTAAAAATATTTTAATAAAAATTAGAAAAATATTAATACTTGATTTATAAATCTTTTGAAATAAAGAAAACATTTTTAGTAAAAACACGCATAATATTGATAGAAAATTGCAAATTATAAATTTTTTTGACACTTTGTTTATTACTTTATAAAACTACTTATTTTTCATTTTTGCTGGTAAAAAATTAAAAATATTAATAGCTCGTCCAGCTGAACAAGGAAAATATTTAACGGGGCCGGAAATTGCGCTAAAATAGAAACTGCTCTTTGTCAAACGAGGAAGTTCGTGTCAAACGCGCCTGCTTTCCGAAGGCAGCACCGATCTGAAACCCCCACGCATGGGTCGGCACAATATTATTTCTTAATTTTACCCTTGTAAAAACACCTTATTTGCCTAATTTCCCGCTTTTCTGAAGGAAATATTTCAAGAGTTTTCCTCAAACTTGCAGAAAAAGGAATGCGCCGATCGAATTGAAAATGAGTGCTTACCTGCGAGTTGACGCGCTGCTAGTGCGGGGTTCAAAGTTCACGACCCCCGCACAAGCCAAGGGGGTCAACGCGTCTGCGCTCTGCCAACCCACCAACGCACAAATTTCCTGCTTCGCGGACGCACGGTTTACCTCTAAATTTGATTTATTAATATACACGCGGCGTTTATTTTGATCTGCGCTCTCAGCAGATCAAACAAATTCGGAGGAAAATTAACAAAATATTCACAAAATTCTTTGTAATACGCACTGGTTCATCTTTTATTATACAATTTAAAACAGCATGTTCAAGTCCATCAAAAAATTAGATAAAACAATATAATATTATCTGCTGAAAATTCTAAGAAAAACTGTTGATTTGTCTCCGTTTAATTAATTCTTCTTTTTCATACACATTTAAAACTTTATATAAATCTTAACTGGAATACATTTTACACGATTAAATACGTAAGATTTTTTTTTAAATAATTTACGAAAGAAAAAAAATAAGAGGATATAATAATAATAATCTGTCTCGCGCTGACTCGGAAAATACAGCATTAGCACGAGGTGGGCAGTTTACTTATTTATGATTAATAATATAGGTGCTAAAGGCTATTTTTATTTACTTATTCCATTGAATTGGAACAATTAAGGAAGAGGGCAATCCAATCACACTAATTTAAAGAGCAGATTAATTGCTCACATATATTGTCTCAATTCAGTAATTTTTGGCCATTTTTAAGTGTTAAATATCATTTTAAGTAAGTGAAGTACATACAACATATTATTCGGGAATGTGCGATTTTGTGTTTAATATGACAGTGTGTTACATTTACACATCAATTTAACTCAACTGATTGAACACACTCATTACATTTTCCTTAAGATTTAACCACACTCAAAAATCAAGGAATTTCAACTAACAACAATCTCGGCTTTAATTGAACACACCTGGTCGACAAAATGAACAGCTAATTTTTTTTGTAATTAAAAATTGTAACTCAAAAGGAGATTCCTGCGTGTGTGCTGAGATTGCTCTCCGAACCTTACACTGACTAGTGTGGACTTGTTCGTCCACCTTCCCTAAACACATTTTATATTAATGAAACTGCAACTGCTGTTTGATTTGAATTTGTTATCAAGTATGATGGGATGAACTGGGACTAGAATGTGAGGAGACGGCGCTCAGACCGTGGTCTCTCTGAAGATGTGCTGCGCCGAGGCTGCTTTGATCAACTCCAGTTTGCGACCGATTGTAGCAGCTGCCTCCGAGGGCCGTCCCCGCCGCGTCGCTGCTGCAACACCACCAACCCCCACAATTATACTCCTGCACCCAAACGGCACACATGGCATGCTCAGATCGTTAGTGGCATTCATTAATGGTGACGCTGGTCCTTTGGAAAATACACAAAATAAAGTTAACTCTTCTAAACATGTCTATAGCAAAGATAGGTTTTTCTTTCTCAGATATATGAAATAAAGTATTGAATTAATTAAGAATAGCAAGTGATTCTTCTTCTGCAACAATGATTCAAATTATTGAAGTAAGAAAATTACTTGTTTGCCCCCTTTTTTTACCTTCCTAGGCTTTGAACTTTTAGTAAAGTAGTATCTTCCGGCTATCTTTGAATTCAATAATGTCAAAAGATAAATAATTTTTCTTTTTGTTTATTATCAATTTTCTAAAAAAAAATTTTCAGTACCCAAATTACATAATAAAAACAAGTGTTTTGTTTCTTTATTATTTTGACAACTAGAAATTTGAAAGCTATTAAGAAAATATTACTTTATCTTTTAGAAATAAAAAGTTTTCATCAAGAGCTAGTTAAAAAAGTAGATTTTTACCTTCTTCATTAAAATTTTTTAAACTCTGATAAAACCGGATAATTTTGAATCAATTGTTTTGGCCAGAATCACCTGAATGAGAATATTTTAATTATATTTGGCATTTTCCAAAAGGTTGGCGTGCAGGCCAGTTAAGTTCATGCTAGAGCAGCGTGCAGCACTTGTTGGGCCGAATTTTGGGACTCGGAGGGCGTTCGTCGAGCGTTTTGGTGTCGGCGGGCAGGAAAACCTCTTCGCCCCCAATGTTGGGGTCGACCACCTCAAACCAGTCCTCGTCCGACGAGCTGTGGTGGCTGCTGAAGCGGGACAGCTGCCTACGGACGGTGTCCGAGGAAATGAGGCGGTGCCTGGACGGCGACGACTGCCACGCCGGTTCGCTCAAACACCTGCACTTGGCGTTGGCGAGGGCGTGCGCCGGACGCTCCACGCCCCCCGACTGGGCCCGCACCAGGGGCCGGCCCCCGACTTCAGGACAGCAAGGGGAGGAGGACATGCTGGACGGGGGACGCCGCTTGCAAAACACCTCACCTGCCTGCTCTGGCAGCACCCACATCTTCAGGTACACTGGCTGCAAACACACAGACACTTTAGTGCCAAAGCCAAAAAAGATACATTTGGAATCTTCGAAAAAAAGTCATATTGAAGGAAAAACTAAATTCAAATGTGGTCACTGGTAAATTTTTACTCCTGAATGACAAAGAAAAACAAATTTCATGATTAATGTTGGAAACGCAATTGAAAAATTTGCAAACCTTTAGGGTTAAAATCGGGAATTGCACCTTTTTGCCAAAACATTTGCAAGAACTTTTGTGGAATTTAATAATAAAATTTTATGATTAAATATAATTAAGGGATTTTCCAGTCAGGATTATCTTCCCTCTAGGGAAAACTGAACCTCTGATAAACCCCTTTGTTCGAAGCTTAGGGATGCAAATTCTATGATTGCCATTTCGATGACTTTATTCATATTCAGGAATAAAAAATTGCAGATGTCCCTCTTTAAAAAGAAAAAAAGGTTCTAAATCATGACACTTTACACAGAAAGAAGAAGATTCCCAATGTTCTCTCTAAGAAAAAGTGAGGACAAAATAAAAGATACATGCAATAGCATTAGTGTAGCAAAATTTCAAACTGCTGTTTGTACTTATAGTTTTTAATGAAAAAAAAAATAAAAACAATATTATTTCATCCATCCTGGCAAATTACATCCAAAATTAACCAGAAGCTGTACCTGATTCTAATTGAGGACCATTTCAAAATCCAGGTAAACTGGCTGCATGTGTGCAAGAGAAAATATTTTTGAGTCACAGAGAAGAATTTGAGACGAGCGACAAACACAGAAACAAAAGTGCGCATTTACCTTATGGTCACCCATGCAGGTGTTCTGGCCCATTAAATAATATTCCAGAGCTTTTCCACTCTCGGAGGGCTGCAAACGGAATCATCAGAATATGGAATTGGCTTTTTTTTAAATAAAATTATTTACTTCCTGGATTAGTTGCCTTGCAGAGTGGCTCATGAGGACTCGGTCGCACCAAGCCGGACATCTGGTCTGCATGTAGCATCGGGCGCCTCGTTCGTCCTCTTCGAACGGGTAGCTCGGCGGAAAGGAGATGTTGAATTCAAACAAGTCTTTATTGAACGGCTCCAGTTCTTTGTCAAACACCCTCAACTGACAATTTGAACAAAATTAGTAAAGTTATGCCCTCGAAAAAGGACATCAGTAAATTTTGTTATTCCAGAATATGGATAAAGACCAAAATAGAAAAATTAGCACACTACACTTCAAAACAAGGGTTCATAGGAAGTTCGCCTTTTTCCGCCAAACAAATTTTAACCTACTGATTGCCGAATTCCCAAAATTAAATAGCCAATTTTAACTTATTTCATTGTTTGTAATGAAATTTAACTCTTTTTTTCTTGTTCAGGAATAAAACATTTATTGTTGAAGCTTTTTAATAAAACTTAAGTTCTTACCCACTCGCCATTCTTATCGAGGAAAATATTCTGGTGGTCTACGTGGCAGAATTCCTTCTTGCCTAAGCTCAAGACAACCTGTGTTGATCAAATCAATTTTAACCATTGCGGTGATTAACTTCAAAGAAATTTTTATACCTCACTCTCCTCATTCTGGTAGTGCATTTTGGTGCACTCGTCTGCATTGTTGTACTTAAATGTTGGCACCGCTATCAAACCTTCCGACAATTTCTGAAACAAAATTTAATTACTTTTCAGTCACACAAATTAATTCCATTTTGGAAATGTAAATTAAAATAATTTTAAATTCAATTAATCCCATAATTTAATTGAACGAAATTTGACCCTATTATTCTTTGAAATTAGTATAATTCTCAGTTTTCTGTTTATTTTGCTTCAATTTTGATATAACTAGTAGGAGGTTTAGTAAGTAAATAAGATGAATAAAAAAATGGTCTCACTTTGACCACTTCGTGAGTCTCAGTCCTGAAATTAAAGTCACCGAATAAGAAGAACGGGGTGCAGTCCAATCCGTCAGAGTGAAATCTCTCGAGCAGGTGTTCCAGCGCCCGTCTCCTGTTTTTGCAGTACTCTGACGGCGCCTGTAATTGGAAATCAATGTGATTGTGAATTATTTACTTTTCCGCTCCAACTCACTGATTCCATTGCGACAAAATTGGAGGCGTCGTGGAAGAGGTGTATGTTGATTAGATCAAAAACGGTGCCGCTCAAATTCCATCTCGTTCGCAGGAAACCTTTCCTCGACCACTTGCACTGAAATGATCGTACCAAAATTAGCAGATTAACAGATTTCTTGGCATAAAAATCATATGAAAGGTAGACAAAATTAATAATAAATATAAAGTCAAACTATTCTATAAAATAAAATATTGTTTTTAAAACTTTCAAAATTAATATTTTAGGGTTTAATTTAAAATAAACAAAATAAATTCTTTTAACACCCCCCCCCCCCTGTCTTCAAGCCTGATTAGTCAAATAAAACAAAATAAAACCATACATAGAATTTACTAAAAAAAAACTTGGACGATTTTCTTTTAACATAAAAGTTTTGATAATCAACAATTCTGTATTTAAATATAAAAACTTCAATTACTTTCTGAATCAAAACTGCAGTCGAGTTTTAAAGTGAAAATATATCAAATTTATGAAATTTCTGCCCGACTCTTTGGCCAGGATTGCATTGATCCGACACTTACCTCTGGGAAAAAGTCTTGTGGGAATTTTGATTTTTCTTTTGTGGCGACATCTTCGATGCTCCCTGAATGGACTTCCTTGTCCGCAACCGGCACAAAAGTTGCTTCTGCAAACCCATGAAAAATCAGCTTTGATCAATTTCCAAGAAAAAACAACCAACCTTTGAAGTCCCAAATAAGTACGTCAGTCAATGATTTGTGGACGAAGTAAAAACTGCCGAGCGCAGTGAACTTCTCGGCCGAAGAATAATCCTCGTCCAGATAAACTCTTACTTTATCAAACAGTCTCAGTTGCTCGCTGGACAGCAGCAGACTGAAAACAAATAATTTTTAATGGGCCATTAAAAAAAATATTGCATGTGGACTGACTTGACGAAATGGTCAACATGCTTCATGCTCTGCTCGTAGTTTTTGCCGCCCACTTCCTGACAGTGCAGTGCGATGAATTTTGGCTCGAGTCGAGCGATTTGCTGCAAAAAATAACAAGCTAATTATTTCACAACAAAGAAAGAGAATAAAAATCTAACAATTTAAATAAAATTTTCCTTAATAATTTGGGAATATTCTTAGATATTTCAAAACTTCCCATGACGTGTAAAATACTTATGCTGGGAATTGTAAATGGTTTTATTATTTTTTTCAATAAGGGACGGAAGTGGTGATTAGATCTTTGGAAGGGCTGACGACGGACAACTTACAGAGAGAAATTCCGCTGTCCATATTTTTAGCATCACCTCGGGCTGAAACAGAGCAATTATAAATTATGAGAGGCAATTTTCAAAGGCATTAAATTTTAAAGTTAATTTCGTTTCATTGCAGAAATTATCAAAATTAAAATTGCAAGTATTTCACATTACTTATTTTTGTTTTTTATCTGGAAAGCATAAAAAATGATATTTATGAAATAAAAAATTAAAATAATTTTTTTTCATAACTTTTAATTAGAATTTTCCACAATAATATATAATATCGAGTAGGTTAGATCTTAAATTCAATTAGCTGTGTTAATAGTACCAATAGTTTCAAGTGCAAAAATATTAAAGATAAAGATTTTTATTGACCTTTTCTTACATTTTTAGTGACTTTTAGAATGTTACGAAGTGATAGTTATGTTCGACATTTTTAAAATAAAGTAAGAAATATAATAATTCTTAAACATATGTTTCAAATATTAAAAAAAAATGTGTTGCACAGAGATTCTCAATAATCACTTCCCACACTCAGTTTTAACACGAATAAGTTAATCATTGCATCAAATTTATGATTTCTTATCAAATTATCACATCAGCCGCTTTTTCAACAAAATAAAATAATTACTTGTAAAATGAGAAGAAAACTAAATTGAAAGTAGAGGAATTTTAAATTTGCCACTCGATTTAGACGAATCGAGATGACCTTTATCAACAATTGAGGTTGATTTTGAAGAAGTCCTAAAACAGGTGTGAACTTGCACTTGTTGTTTTTAAATGGGAGACCTTCGAGGGGCTAATTCAATTCAAGTGAAGCCAAGAAAGTTCAAGTGCGCGATTGGCACGTGCGAAATGCAAAATACGGGCGTTTTGTTCGGAAAATGCGGAGAGGCCTCGCGGCTGAGGTCGTTTAACGCGATTAATCGGCGACTAATTACGCATCAGCCAAGGTTGACAATTGCGGCGCCTGCGGGGCCAATTTCAATCAGAGCTAATGAACTCGCCGCAAAGGACGAAATTTATAATCCGCATTGTTTCCAACTACTTTAATGTATGCGTGTTCGATTAAGGCGAGCTGGTGCGATTCAATTGTCCGCGTTTGCACACCTGCGCGCCGGAATTCGACTCTACTGAAAAGCAATTTTTTAATAAAACGATTCACGATTCAAACTTAAAAATAAATCAATTTATGTGCATATTATTGCTCTATAATTTCCAGAAGTTTTCTCACAAAAAATTAAATGAATTAAATATATTTTTTTATGTTCTGTAAATAATTAATTAATTTTCAAGTTTTTTGTATTTTTTTTTTGTTTTTAAATATTTTTTAATTTTTAATTTGCTACATTTTAATTAAGATTCTTTCTTGTTTTTACATCTTTTCTTACTTAGATGAATTTATTTTAATTTTATGACAATTTAATTTGAAAGAAAACAATTAAATGATGTGCTGAAAAAGATCAGCTGTTGATTTTGCGATAATTGCACCAAAACAAATAAAACCACGCTTCGATATGTCAAGGTCATTGTGCTATGAGGTCTGCTTTTCCAATTACTCTGTTGCACATCAAAGGTGCCGCCTGATGAAAATTGCGCCTTCAAAGAGAGTCGTATATTGCAAGAAAAAATCAATCGAGGAAAGAGCAGATCAAAAACAGCCAGATCGGGGTCAGGCCAGGTGTGTTGGTGCTAATTTGTCGCAGGTGTTCGCCGCCTGGTGTGTGCGTGCGCGACTCGCTCGAGGTCAACAACCCCGTCAGAGCCCCTGCCCAGGCCCTTGCCCCCGCGGAGGAGCCCTTCACGTTCGCCTCCTGCCTTTATATTCCTTTCTTGCTTGCTTTGCAAACTCACGTCCTCGAAAATGGATCCAACGTTGGCCGTGACCAGCAGAACTGGCGTCGAGTTGGCGGCCATCTCGGCGCCGACGCGGCTCCGATCCTTCTCTGCAGGTCAGCCCTTAGTTCAGGGTCACGTCCTCCGAGTCCATGCCGCCTCCAGGCCCCCGAATCGCGTCAAATGTCACCAAAGAGAGCTGCACTCGCACTGCCCCAGACGATTCAAACTTGAAAACACACACCGATTGCTCACGACAAACCGGTTTTCAAGCACCAGTTTTCCTCTATACCGTGCTGAAATAACAAAATTTAACTCGTATTGAATAGAAATTGTTGTATAAATCAAATAACTTACTCTTTAGCTTCAATCAAGGCTGTTAAATTAGTTTATAAACGTGCTTGGTCAGCAAAGAATCCGAGTTCACCTGTTGGTGCTCAAGAGCGCGGTTTTTCACCGCGCAGGTGCAAACCGGTTTCACTTTTCGTCCACGCCCCCTGAGCCATTGACGTCACGGAGGCGCATAAAAAACCATTTGTCGTTTTCGAATGACGTATTTGCGTGTGTGTATGTGTGCGATACGGGAATATGATTGCATATATACAAGTTTAACGCCTCGATGCGTGCTGCCTGCTGCTTTACGGCTGAAATTAATCGCGGCCAGCTTATTAAAAAAACCGAAACACAATAAAATAAAAACTGCGGAGAGCAGCAGGGCGGCGGGGGCGAAGGCGCAGGGAGCGTGCGCGCACCCCTTTGGAGTTCTGCCATCAATACATCGAGTTGAGAGAGCAGAGGATATTTTATTTATAAATCCTCACGCACAAGCACAGCACAATTTTTGAGTTTTTAGAGAAGAAGTTTTTCCTCGCCCAGACGCTTCTCGATTGCGGTTTGTCGCGAGATTCTGCTGCTTCCTATAATATATGGTGTGAGATTTATATTCTACTTGAGAGATATTATGCTTTATTGATTGGCGCACTCTCGACTATTGTCAAACCGCGGCACGCCAAGAAGATTATTCCGTCAGCTGCAGTTGTGAGTGCCCCTGCAACTTTTTTGTACATAAAAGAGATTCCGCCCTCATTCAAATCGATTCAAGTTTTTACTTTCAGAGGGTTTTAAAAATATTGATCATACATTTTTGCCAAAAAGATAATATAATCATATTTCAAAAATAATATTCTTTTAGAACTCAAAATGACGTCGAACACAATTTTGAGCCGATGCATTTTGCTCCTCGTCCTCGGTTTCGGATTTTCCTCAAACGCCGAATATGTGCACATGACCGAGGTATTCGTCCTGCCAATCGAGCCCTCCATGTTCAACTGGACCCTTCACGGTGATTAATTTTTTTATTGTCTACAGAACTATAGCTATATATGCACCCCGCATGACTTGGACGTCGTGCAAGTTGCCTAACTCGTCTCAGGCAGGCGCTGGTTCGGTTTTAATTTTTATTTTGTCTTCTTCAGGAGCGAAAATTCGCGATCAGTACGAATATCGTCCAACGCAGATCAACTCTCCAGACCTGCCGACTTGGATAAACTTTGTCTACAGCTCCAGACACCAACAGGGCTTTTTGTTCGGCGTCCCTCCTCAATGGCCAGACGCAAAACAAATCGAGGTTTAATTTTGTTAAACAAAAGTTTATGAAACTTCGAATAATTTTTAATAATATTTTAGATCGAGATTGTTGCTCTGAACAAAGAAACTTACGAAACTAGAAGAAGAGTGGTGCCGCTTTTCGTCAAACAGAAACAATGTGGGTTTATAAAAATTGTATAAATCAAAATTTAACAGCTGAATTTTTTTTAAACATTTCAGCTCCTGCTCAATACGAAGTGCAGCTGAAAATTCACAATTTAAACGTCGAAGACCTTTTCGAGGCTCACAGGCAGAATCGATTGCTGGACATCTTCAAGCAAAAACTGTGGACCGCAAGTGCAGATGATTTGCATATCACTATGTTGGCGTCTGCGGTTCAACTCGGGGCGAGACTGCCCTTAAGACCTACCGAAGGCGAGGGGTAAAAATCGTAACATTTCCTGAAGATATAGTTGTAAAAAAATATCATTATATATGTTTCATAGGGTCGTTCTCAAGTTGGGAAGCGCAAAGGAGTTCTCCGCGGCCCTGAGAGAACTTCAAAAGGAGGTGAAACCGCTGTGGAAAATGAGCTCGTGCCCGCGAGACTACAAAAGAACGAGTGTCGAGAGGATTTTCCGAGATCAGAGATTTGCGCTCGACTGGTGTTCATTCAAACTGGTGAGAAACAACGCTGAATTCATTCACATTTTCTAGAGCTTTTATATAAAATCTTTCTTTATATATAAAAAAAAAAAAATGAAATTTAAACATTGACTTTGTAATTTTGAATTGCAGCAAGAAAATTTGGTGACGAAAATTTACACCCCCGCGTCAGACGACGAGTACAGCGATTACACAAACGCGTTTGTTGATGAGAATGATGTGTGGGACGCTCCACCGTCGAGGGAAAACGTCCCAACCAGAAGCTACACATTTGAATTTGTCGTGACCATCATTGTGCCCATGGTGGTCCTCATTTTGCTTGTCATTCTCATCTCATTCATCCTCTGCTTCCACCACGAGGGAATGTGAGTGGGAATATTTTGTTCTTAAATTTGGCTTAAAATTTCATTTCAGGGCTGACGATGGCTCAGAGGAATTTTTCAACTCAATATTTAGCATTTGTGAAGATTACTGGAGGTATAGTGTGTGTTTGTGTGGGAAAAATGAACTAAAACAAAACGGCACTAACCCCAGAGCTTCACTTACACTTTTAAACTTAACTTTGAATTTTTAAGAGTTAAGTTTCTTAATTTTTGTTTAGAAGTAAGCGCAACGAAGAGGGCTGTGAGAGGGTGCAGATGCTGCAGTACACCCCTGTGCACCACCAAAACGAGCAACCCCTCCAAAGCACCCTGCGACGCGTTCCCAGCCCCACCCCCGAACAACCTTTTGCCCAAAGGTCGATGACCACAAGTCCGGCCAGTTCTTTACAGAGAAGCACAAGCCCAAGAATGCTCGACGAGGACGCACAATACACTCGACCAAACCCACCCCCGTACGTTGGAATTTACAACAATAATAACCACAGGTTTGATACCATTTTTTTTAAGTAATCTTTTTTTAATTCATTTGGCAAAATTGTAGCTCAGAATACGCGCAGTCCGATTTCTGACCAACGGCCGAGCCCGGAAAGCTTTGGTATTGCTGAACAAGGAAAAGGAAATTGGGCCGGACAAGAAAATCTGCAGAGATTTAATACGAGATAAAAAAAACCTAGTCATTTCAAAATTAACAAAACTGCGTTAGGCCGTATAGAGCAATAACAGTGATTAACTTGTTGATTTTGTCAGTTAGATCTTTAAAAAATAATTCAGATCATCGCCTTTTCAGAGCTTCAATGTGATGTATCTCATAATTAATTAATTAATCAAGTGAAAATTGCTAAATGTTGCCATATCAGTGTTAATAACCATGTATATTAATCAAGACAAGTACTTAACCACAAATACTCAAAAGCATTTTAATCAGGTAACAACCGTTCATTTATTCAACTGAATGTGAACATTATCCAACCAATAAATAAGATGGTAAAAGTATTATCAGCTGTTATCTTTTTAGTTTTTAGCTCAAATTTGAACCTGCAGGAACGAAACAAAGCGATTTAAAGATTACATCATTTTCTTCCAAGTATTTACACTGAATCCTTTTAGCTAAAATGGCTAACAGTGATCTCTATGCCTTTGGTGCGGACAACTCGGGCTGGATCACTTGTTTTTGGACTAAGAGCGAAGCGTATGCGGCCAACGTTTGCGCCACATTCTTAACCTCCAATAGCGTAGTTGTTTCGTCCAACCATCCACTTACCACATGTCGACACGGCCCACGCAGCAGGTTTGCGTACCTGGCCGCTTGCAGAAGGTCACCCTGGTCCACAAAATACCTAAAAAATTAGTTTAAAAAAAAATTGAAAGATAAAATTTAACAAAAATAACCTTGCTCTGTCGAGAAGAGCATTGTTGTCCAAGGTGGAGAGGTCGGTGGGGTCGTTGTTGAGCTCACTGGGTTTTATGCTCGAGTGGGGCTGCAGGAGGACGGTGGAGCGGAGGAAGGACAAGAGGTACCAGGTCAAAGGAACCTGGTCGTCCCTGTGGATCATGCTGACCTTTCGGGCCACCCTTTCAACGTCGTTGAACCTGGCTTTTAACGCAGGTTCTGTAAGTACTCCAATTTTAACCTAAAATTTTATGGAAGTTTAAAAATGATGATAACTGTAACAATTAATTATTACCCCCTTCTCAGGCAACATCTTCAACGTTGCTTCAACAAAATCGTCTTTTTGTCCTTCAAAAACTTTCTTGACGTCTCTGACATGGCCGTCGATGCCTCTTCGCTGATGGGTCCAGTCCTTGGTCGGGTACGGATTTATTCCCAGGGAGCGCATCAAATTGTCACAGCTGCGAGATATTGCCAGCAGTTTGGCGCCGTGCAGAACAGCTTCTTCCCTCTCTAGAGTCAAAATTATTAGTTAAAAAGAATAAAAAGGGACTTTTGCTACAAATTGGATTTATTTTAAAGATACTTAAAATTAGCTTTTTGTAAATAAGGCCAATGCCAAGGAAAAATGGAAAGAATTATGGAATTGATTTTTAAAAATTAAAATTGTTTGTTTTAAGAAATTTTTAAAATAATAATTGTTTTGCTCAAAATTAGCTCTAATAAAATTGAAAAAAATATTTCATCAAACCAAGTTCAATTCGCCTAATCAAGTTGGCAAAATAAAATCAAACAAACTTAGAATTATCTTATAGGGAACAGTTCAGTAATCATTTTTCTTACAATTAATGCATAAACCATAAGCTTTTATGTTAATGCTTCAATACAAGACTTAGTTACTCACTCTTGATATTTTTGTCAGCCTTGTGCAAAGCTTCAACGGCCGAGCCAATTTGCTGGGTGTGCTGCTGCACCATATGACCGATGCGGTCCGAAAGTTCCCTGGAGAAGGCCGACCTTTGCGAAAGCAGCGCTGCGTTTTTGTCGTCAGTCATGATCATGGCCTGTTGTCGAAGCTGGGACTGCGCTCGCCGCTCAGCTTCGTCTCGGACTTGGATGATCTGCGCATGGTACTCTTCATTTAATTGCCTCCTCAGTTCCTCCTCCTTAACCTTCAGGTGTTCCTGCACCCTTTCCTCCACACCCTCTTCCCCTGCAGCCTTCAGGGTGTCAATCAGGGCACGTTCGTCCTGTTTCTGCAACATTTTGAAAAAAAGGATCAATAGGACAAAATAAACAAAAATTAATTAAATTTAATTAAAATTTAAAAAGTAATGATTAATTAATTTTTGGAAAAGGAATTTAAAAATAAAAAAATATAATTCATTAGTTCATAATTGCACTAACAGATTGCTTATTAAGTTGCTCCTTGTAGTGCAGCATTCGAAGAGAAATTAGCAAAACAAACAAGTCCTGATCGTCCTTCTTTTTTGGATCCCAGTTCGGGCCCAGTTCTTGCTGCAATTTGTGGTAGGCAGATGAGATTTGTGAGGACAAGGCCTCCGAGGGCTTGATGGCTTCCTGGGCTTTGAAGAGGGCCTCGTCAGCCTCCTTCAGTTGCTTCTCAACCTTGGCAATGCTTTCCTGGATTGATTTGAGTCCTTCGCCGGTCACAGTTGAATTTGCGACGGCCGTTTTCAAACTGGCCAACTTGGCCTGGGCTTCGCCGGCCGAATCAAACGCTTTTTTGGTGACAATTTCAGCCTCTGTGTTCTTTGAAATCAGCGAGGCTATCAGCCTTTCGGATGGCTCGTCGGCCGAATAGTTTGAAAACTCTGCACCCAAACCTGTCAACAAAGAAAAATTTTAATTTGCTTTGTCATTTATAAATAACTAATGGCTATTGTTTCATCTTTTGATTCCATTAATTCAGTGGAAATGATTTGTCCTTTCAACTCACTTTTGATTTGATTAATGGCGTTTGCAGAGGTTGAAGTTGCGGCAGCACAAGCAGCATCAACAGTCGCCTGAAGTTTTATTAAACCACTGAGGGCAGCATTCTGGGCGTCTCGTTCAAGTTTCTTCTTTAACAGACTTTCGTCTGCACTTGGTGTCGCAGGTTTGGGGGCAGGTTTGACCTCTTCTTTTTTCACAACGCTAAAAAATTGGAAATCTGTCTAATAAGATGAAATAAATATAAGTGGAACACTAACGGAGCAGGTTCCTTTGCTTCCTTGGGCTTTGGCGTTTCCTTAGGGGCGGGTGGAGGGGAAGGGGCTTTGGGTTTGTCTTCACTGGCGCCGCCGAACAGGCCCGACGCCTTCTCCTGAGCGGAAGAGACGAGGCTTTTGGCAGAGTCAACCACACCGGAAGCAGAGTCGATGAGCCCTGTTGTGGTGTCGATGACAGAACTGGTTGACGAAATCACAGAGTCTGCGTAGGGGACGTTGTCCTCGAGGAGCCTTCTAAAAGAAGGGTCGTATTTTGCGTAGATGGCTGTGCCCACTGTGGCCGCTGTCAGGGCTGTTATCGGCACCCAGATCTTTGCACTTCCACTGAAAAACGTTGTCTTTAAAATGCTGACCTAATAATTGCTGGACTATTCAACAATAATTTGCAAAAAAAAGGTAAAGATAAGAAAAATTGAAAATATTATCCTGAATTGTTTGGATACATGAAAAATATAATAAAAAATATATTGCCGGTTTAAGTTAAAATTATTTCAAAATTTTTGTACCCTCCTCCTCCAGCCTTGGTGGATTGGTGTGCCCTGATCTCCTTTTGCGGCAGCGCTGCCCGTCTCGGTGAACACATCTGCAAGTCAAGAATCGCACAATTAAATTTTGTTTTCTTCCAAAGATGTTACGAAATCATCTCGAAGAATATCAAAGTGTATTGATTGGTACTGTCGGTCAAAGCAGGACCAGAGAGAGCCCGCAGATCAGGTCGGTTTTGAGCGTGACCGGTGCGGTTCAGGGTCGGTACTCACACGTCCGAGGCGCCCTAAGGAGCCTTTCACAGTTGTCCGCAGCATATTTTCTAGACAGCGGCGGCAAATCTCATAAAATCGGGTTAAATATGCGGTGACAAGGTGACGGGCGGCCCGCAATGTCGACGGAAAGGAGGCGAGGCAGGTGATCAGCGATGTTCACTTGTTTCCTTGGAAGTGGCGCGAAAACCAGAGAAAACTTGAGAATTTTAGAAATTTCATGAAACGTAAAGATTCGCACATGTTTGGAACATTTAGTAGCTATCAAAGAAAAATTTTGGATCTAATTTCATAAAAATTAACGGTTAATTCAGATATGCTGAAAATTCTTTGTAAAATTTACTTTAAAATTTCTGTCAGGTTGGTAACGCCATTGTCGTGATTGGCAAGCGTGTGTTTTGTTCCGTGACGTCACGCCGCGTCATCAGCCAGCTCGGCTAGCCACAGCTGAAAGTATTGAAAGGCTGCTGCAAATTATCCTAGAGGTGGCCGAAGACGTCGTGGTGCCGCCGCAAACAGACTTTTACGTGGACTCAATTCGGCCGCCGAATAGATCGAAATGGAGACTAGCGCGTGGCAGTTGATCTCAAGCACGCAGTACGCCCTGCCGGTGGTGCTGGTCGTCTTCTTGGCCGTGGTCGTTTTCGCCCTCGGCTTCAGGAGCAGCGTTGAGCCACCTACACTCGCCTACCTGGAGCAGGAGAAGAAACCTGTCGCCAAGAAAACCAAAAAGCAGGTCCGAACGATTGCCTGCGCGTTTATAACTCCGACTAAATTTTTTTGATTTAAATTTACGTTTCAATTAACACATTTAAATCTAATGGATCTGCATGCATGGGTTGTACACGAGGCACATTATAACGAGCTTCACATTTTAACAGATTTTTGAAAATTTTTATACAGTTCTTTAGAGCTTCTGCAATTTTTCTGAAACTTTTTCATTCCTGTATGTGTTTCAAAGCCAAAAATTTGATTGATTGCTGGAAATTTTCACTTTCGGTTTCCGGTGTGATATTATTTCCATGGATTTTCCTGTCTTTGTTCCATAGAAATTTCAAATAAATTTTTATTTTTCCATTTGCTTGGTTGAACAATATTATTAATTACTTGTTATGCTTTAGAAACCTGCAAAGGAAGAAGTGAGAGAGAAAACTCCTGAGGTGAAAAAGCCGGAGAAGAAGCAGCAGGAGAAACCTGCCAAGAAGCAGCAGGCCGAGCCTGTGGTGGAAAAGAAGCAGGAGAATAAGAAGGAGCAGAAGACGATTAACAATAAGACGTGAGTGTGCCAAGTTGGAATGTAATACAAATCTAATTACGAGGTGGTTATTTTAGTAAAGAGAACAACAAGAAGAGTGCAGCAGCAGCGGCTGTCCCGAAACTGGCCGAGGAAATCAAGAACAAGAAGAACGAGCGCAACCTCAAGAAGCTCAACCAGTCCGACGAGAAACCCCTGGACTTTGACGATGGTAAAAATTATAAATCAATATTTATGAATTTAATTATTTTCTTTTTTAAATTCTCTGTATCTTAATATTCTAATTTAGTTGAATCTGCAGGCAATTGGGTGCAAGTTTTGTCCGGAAAAGACAAGAAGGTGAAACAGGTGAAGCAGGAGGAGGAGAACTCGGCTAAGGCCAAGAAGAAGGCCCAGAAGGAGGCCAAGCGCATGGCTGCCGAGTTGCTGGCCAAGGCCAAGAAAGACGCAGAAAACGCCCAGCAGCTGGCCAAGCAGGTAATTCATCTCTCTTTGGTACTCTGATTTATTTGATTTGGACTTTGGATTGATGCAGGCTCAGCAGCAGAAGCAAGAGATTAAAAGTGCAGAGCCTGAGGATGAGCCCGAAGAGCGCGAAATCAGCAAAAAGAGGAACCGCAAGGGCAGCACCAGCACCAAGAAGGCCGCCGAGCCGGAACCTCTGCCTGAGGTAAAACTGAAAATTCAATTTTTATAAACTTCTATTGATCAAAACTTCTTAGGTTGTCAAGCAGCCAGGCCCTCTAGCTTCTAACAGGAAGCCTTCCGTCGAAGGTATTTTGATTTTACAAATTAACGTTGGATCTAATTTTAAATTAATTTTAGCAGAGGCTCCTAGTGCTCCTGGAGTGGCTTTTGATGAAGTTGGGGGTACTTAGAATTTTTTCCAGCACTTAATTTAAAACTAACCAATGTTTTGATCTTCCTCAGACTGGCAGGAGAATAAGCCGAAGAAGAGCAAGAAGAAGTCGAGGAAGGATTAGTTTAAGGGGAGAAAGACGGTCGTTCGAGGCATCCACGCAAACCAAAAGACATGAAAATTGGTGACCTTTCTTTGCTCATTGAGTTGCATTCGTCGCGATGCCAAACAATTCTCCCCGCGGGAGTGTTGATTTAAATACGAATGATTGCCTTGGAAGGAATTTCTCGAAGAACCTCCCTTTGATTTCTCGTCTTCCGACCGCTCGTTGGGTTTGCTGCACAAATAATTTGGTTTTTCGAAGAAAAAGAAGTACAATTTATTAGCATGATGCCGAGTCTTAAATCGAGAGAGTGGGTGCAAAATTTTCGGATGTTATCACTAAGGGTACAACTACGAACATAAATATATCTATTTTTAAATCTGGTTGTGAGTGCGTGAGTGTGATTCCTTGAACTCTGAGCATTCCCATGATGTTTCCACTTTCCACTCCCGATCTTGTTTTCCAAACTCGCTGGCAATCTGTGATTAGCATATTCTCGAATCGACCAAAAATGAAAAAAATTGAATCCGTCGGAGCCATTTGTTTACTTTTTTTAATTGTTCCGAGGAGTTGTGTGCAAATCCAACTAGCTCTGAAGTGTGCCAAATTTTGATTGGTACATTTTTGTGGTGGTTGAATTTTGATAACATTGAGATTACAGTGTAAGTAATCAAGTCAGTCAGCAACCATCCCTTAGGTGTTCAACATTTTCCAGTCCGTTTTAAATCTTGCTTGGAGAATAGTTTTCTATCGAGGCATCTATTTTTGTGACTCTCCTCAGTCATTTGTCAAAAACTGATCTTTTCCAACCCCAATAAGCAATTAAATGACGTAAAATGAAGTAACACTTATTTGCCAGACTGGCTTGCAAATAGTTGTATTTTAAATGTTGTTGAGAATTTGTCACGAAAGTGAACTGGCTTAGATTTAAAATCACTAATTTTAGGGGAACTTAGGTTAAGAGTCGAGAGACTGTTTGCTGATTTTTGCCCTGGCATCGATCGATGCGAATTCCGTTTGACCCAAAAGACCAAAAATTTCAAGTGACCCGGGGCCACTCGCATATCTCTAGAGTTAATTCAAGTGACTCATTTGGTTCTACCCCCAATGCTATACTGACAGTGCTATATATATTTGAGATAATGGTGACCTGTTTTAATTCCCCACTTAATTACCTGCAGTTTTTTTAATGTGTTAATTTTCACAATTGTTACATTTTTTTCGCTTTAATTTTATTTGATGGGATGTTTAACTTTTTCACATTTTTTTGAGAATATATTCGTGCTAATTTATAAGGGCTGTTAATTTTTCCTTTGATTTACATCATGTTTGTTACTGTGTATGTGATAAGATAAATAAAAAACAAAAATAAAACTAATCTGGCTGTTTTTAAATGTGATGCTGGAGAAATAACACAATCGGTTCAAAGCTCTCTTTCAATGATTTATTTATTTCCTTCCAAAGATTGGTTGTACAAAAAATTGGCCCCACACAAAGCAATATTAGACATCAAGAACCGAGGCTGGGGGCGCATTAAAAATAAATTGCACATTCAGACATTTTTTCCAAATAGTTAGCACGGTGAAAAGTCAAAGATACAGATTTTTCCTTCACTTATACACGCAGAAATGCATTCGAAGCAGCAACCAAATCTGCCAATACAGAGATAACATTTTTCAGATAATCTGGCTCAGTGCACAGTCCAATTCAGAAGTCCAGCCACTTTGAAATGTTCTACATAGAGAGAGTCGCAGAAAATCTACCAAAAACAACTCATACTGTCTCTGAGCAAAAATGCATGTCTCAATAAAAAAAGATTCTATAGGAAATTTAACACTCAGCTCAATAACTTAGCTAATCAACATCAGACCTAATAAATATAGCTCTTAATTCTTAATTTCTATAAACTAAAATTAATAATAGGAAAGATTTATTGTGTTAATTCTCGTAGCTGAAAAAAAGAAAAAATTCTGCTGTAAAGTTGTTTGCAACTTTTGGGAAAAATAAAAATAAGAATCCGGATTTTGATCTTCTTCTTCAGGACCGGCAGATTTGTAGAAAAGACTTATTTATGAAAAATAGTTTGGTGAAGCAACAAATTGCTTGCTCTCATTATGAGTTTTTGCTTGATGAATTGTGCCTATATTTGCCAAGATGGATCAAAATTTAAAAAAGCTCAGCCCGCAATTGTGGTGGCGTCGACGGGCGCCAAAGTGGTGGCGATGGCTTCGACCACACTGCTTGTCACATTGGCGATGGTTTGATTGATCATGAGGTACTCCTCCTCAGGGTGGGCCTTGTGGTCTTCACTGTACACCCTGGCAATGTCCTCCAGGCTGGTGATGGTGCCGAAGATCAGGGCCATCACTCCGAAGACCATCACAGCAACATTTTTCCACAACCGCCACTTGCCTGTCCAATTTTTAAATTATTTAAATCCATTCAAAACTAATAAAAAATCGAGCTTACCAGGTCCGAGACCGTCCTCCCAGAAAGTGACCATTTCGATAACTGCAGGGCAGATCAGTCCAAGGATTGAGAAACACAAAGCGCCAATGAGGCCGATGAAGGGTCCAATGGTTGGCACAGCCACAGCCAAAGCAACTGCAAAAATTGAATATTTGTTGCATTAATTAAAATATATATATAATGATAATGTAATTTTTATCAAAATTTTAATAAATAATAATTTGATTTACTGCGCAAGATAATTTTTTATGAAAATGATTTTCTAAAAATCTAAATTATCATGTTTATTTTTCCAACTCGATCGACCTATTTTATTTATGAACTTAGTTTGAGGACAAAATAACTAAACAACATTCACTTCAATTCCTTTCAAGATTATGAAAAAATCTCCAAAATATTGAAAAATAAATAAATTCATCATCTAAATTCTAAATGAACCTTTAAACTCCCTTTAGAATAGCATACCTGTCAGAGTGACCAGCACGGTGCGCAAAACATATTCGGCAATTCTGCTGCCCTTGTAGCGGTCCTTGACCCCGTCCCAGCAGATCTCAAGGCACACAAAGAACTGCAGTCCGTAGGTGCAGAAAACAGCCAGGGCAATCAAAATCTTGACCGACTGCGCCAATCTGGAGAAGCAAAGTTTTTAAAATTGCTAAATATATGAGTTTGAAAAAAAAGAATTACATTTCGTCTGTTGGTAGGTTGAGAGTGATGGAGCCCTCGGTGTCGTCGCCGTATTTCAGGTAGCCGAGGAATCCAAGCAGGATGTAGATCAGGGTGACTCCGGCCATGCCCTGGTTCAGCACACCGGCCAGACCAAGGAAGTGACGGGGATTTTTCATGTTGTTCTCCAGAGGCATCACCTTTAATAAAAAGTGAAAAAGTTAAAACAATTTCTGTTTGATTATTTGAAATAAAAAAAGACACCACAAGAAAAATCTCTAACGATCGAGAAAATAATTTTAATTAAAGATATTTTATTTTGATGGGTGTTTTTTTTTTTTATCTAAAAATTATTTTATCAGCTGGAAAAACTGAATTTATAAAGATTTCTTAAAATTTAATCTAGGCTAAAAATTTAGCAAACCCAAGTTTAACCTCAACCTCAAATTTAACATTTTCTATCAGAACTTTAAAATATATTTTTATTGAGTATCCGCGGTTTATACTGCAAGTTTAATAAGGACCTTTGAATTTGCTTCAGGATCAATCACGAGAGAAAATTTTCGGCCTAGGACAACCATAAATCCAGTCTGAATCTTTATTCAAGTCAAATAAATTAACCCCGAAAATAAACAATGCTCAAACTTGATTGGTGATTTCTATCGGCGCACCCTTTCTTTCTGCTTTTGCAATAGTGTAAGCATCAATAAACTTTAAAAAAATTTAATAAAGAAACTGCACTTGCCACTCCGATAGCTTCCATGGCGAAGATGACGATGGAGAAGAATTGGGGCATTCCGTAGAACCCGTTGAAGTGGGGTCTCTCGGAGGTCGCGGGCAAGTCCTGGGTGAGGTAGTAAACCGTGATGCCCAGACCGCAGCCCATGAGACCGTTGGCCAGCATGGACACGGGCGCCAAGTACTTGAGGTTCGGCACCCAGCTCAGCAGGATCAGCGGAATGAGCAGGGCTGCGATGTAGTATCGCTCGTTCATGAACACCTGGGTGTGGTGCTCAATCACCTTGTAAGGGAGTAAAGAATACAAAATTAAAGCTGTTTCACATCAAAGCATTCAAAGGATTTAATCAGACAAAAAAGAAGGCTTATTACATTTTTGTGTTATAAAGAAACGCGCCAATTTTGAGAGCTAAAAAATGGAGAAAAAACTGTTTTTTTCTATAACTTTGATACAAATCTAGTTAGAATACAGTGGTTTAGCTATTCCTGGTGCAATTTAAACTCTTAAGACCAAGGGAAATGTTAATTTTAGGCAATTTTTTATACAAAAGGTTTATGAAATTGAAGAAGTTAAAACACAAGGTTTTTTGCTCAATATTAAAACCTGAAGAGTGCCAATTTATAGAAACTAATTAAAATTTTAGGCTCCAAGTGGCTCCAAGTATTATTAAATTTTATTAAATTTGGTGATTTTTTTCAAGCTAATAAAATTATCTACGTCAATTGGTGTTTAGCTTCACGTTTGTGCTAGTAAGAGAAAAATTACTTAAAAAAATCAAAAAGGTCTAATTTTTTTAGTAGTGAATCTCATTATCAGAATATCTCATTAACTGGATTTGATATAAACCTGCTGGAAGTTGCTGGCGATGATGACCGTGTAGACGCTGCAGGTGCCGAAGTAGGTGAGGAAAAGGCTGACCAGGATGGTCATCCGTGAGAGCTGCGCGTACGGACGGCTCCATGCGGGGCCGTGTCTGAAGGAGACGGTGCCGACGTCGGCGAAACTCATCGCCGTCACCCTCGTCCTGGCGTACAGGGCGTGCGCGCACTTGACCAGGATGTACGAGCAGTGCGTGCAGATGATGGCGACGAACACGGTTGCGAACACACCCATCGTCAGGCCGGCGTGCTTGAACGCGATCGGCATCGCCAGGATTCCCGAGCCCAAGCTGGCCTTCAGCAGGTGGGTCAACGTGTCGCAGTCCCTGCGAGACAAAATTCAAAATTTGTGCGAAAACCAAGTTGAGAGGAAAACTCACGTTGTTGGATGGTCGATTTTTCTCTCTTTGAAAGGGTCAAATGGAGCTTCGGCAGGTGCTTTTCGAAGGGCGCCATCTCCATTGGCTTCGGCAATGTACCTTTTCAAACAAATTAAATAAAATTACAAAATTACAATTAAAAAAGAAAAATCTCTTAAAAAAATTGTAAAATCTATTCAAGTTTTGATAGAGGAAATTTTTTTTCTTTTATTTAGTAAACTATGCTTGTTTCAAATTAAACTTGTTTATTTTTTTATTCTTTTTAAATTCTTGATATAATGTAAAAAAAATGAAAGAAAACCCTCAATTTTTCATTTTTTTCTTTCTCCAGAAATGACAACATTAAATTTATTGCCAATAGAAATCAATTCTTTGCGCTGCTCTGGTGACTCATTGTCTCAGACCAAGACACCGTTTTTTGTTTTTTGTATCCCCTGCGGTTTCAGTTTTTTGTCGCCCACTCGCTCTCTCGGTTGAGCAGCCAGACAGGTCAATACATCAGAGGCGATTAAGTGCAAACAAGTGGAATTATAATTTATTTTGACTTTGATATTATATTATTATTATTTTTCCCCAAAACTTGATTGCGTGTCGCATGTGCGGACGGCGAGTGATCGTCCTGAACAACCTCATTTATATTTAAATTAAAGGACAGAAATAAAAAAAGTGCTCTTTGTGTTCCACTTGTTCGTGCGAAATAATGCATTCATTAGTGCCGCGGTTCGTCTCTCAACAGAGGATCAATTTTGACACGCCGTCTGTCGCGCCACAGAAAGAAGAGAAGGAGAGAAGTAGCATTGATTGTGAGACAAAAAAATTAATGTATGATTTCCATCAAAAATATTTAAAATTTAGAGTTTAATCGGTTTTATTTTGCTACCTTGATTGAACTTATTTTGTTATTTTGGTGGGATTTTTATCAATTTTAGTGAAGTTCATTTTTAGGAATTTCTTAAATCGTTCAATAATGACCTCATAATTATGATGCCTCATTAGAAATCCACAAACACGAATTATCATCAAAATTAATTAGATCGTTTATCCTTTTTTTAAGCACAAGTCCCTCCTTAATTTGAGCAGAGCAAAATGCGTCTGATAAATTAAAAAGCCGTTTTTATTTATGATAAAAATAATCTTTTTCAATAGAGTTCGCACGGAATGATTTGCTAAAACGGGCTATCTGCCGTAATTGGAAAAATTTTGGGTCAAAGAGATAAGTTTATCAGCCTCTCTTGAATTACAAACAGAATGAGTGATTGCGATAATTTCACACTTTTCTTAAAACTTACTTTCCCTGAACTCCCTCGCCGATTCCGGAAACGTGATTTTTAACTCCATCCTTGGGTAGGAAAGTCTCCAATTCAGTCCCTTGCTCCGCTTTGCTGACGTCCTGTAAAAAGTATTAAAATTTTAATTGACCATTAAAAATTAAAACAATCGGTCAAACTTGTCGACTTATTTGACAAAGTTTAAAATTTAATTTACGGAAGCGCTCATTTCAATTGGAAATTTCATAAATCCACTTCAACCAACTGGCCAGTGTCAATATGATTGACCCGGTCTATCAATCTACAAAACACGCGAAATTCTATCATGCTTTGGGCAACATAAAATATTTAACGACCTTGGCTATACTTTGGATGAACTTTGAAGCATCGACCGATCAACTCTCGGTTCTAATAAAAACTCTTCTTAAATGATAAAAGTATTTTATTAAGTTATTTTTTCTCGTCTTGTGGTTTTCTGATTCATTTGTTGTGCTGCAAACGTGACGAGCACGTGGTGAAAAGAGGGGTCGAATTCTTGGACGACCCTAATTTAAATTTAGCAATGCACAAGTCGCGCGCACAAAGTTATCTCTCTTGCGGCGAGAAGTAAATTGTTTCAATTTATATAAAATGAGTCATTTTACGTTTGAAATTGTAGCACAAACAAGGGTAATTTTAAACATTTACAGTTAAAAAGAACAACAAACAAAGAAATATTTTCCACTTAATTAGAAGCTGAATTTCATTTTCTTATTTCTACACACTTGAAGTTTTCGTTTGGCTTGGCACTGAGAAATGGAAACTGGGCCAGGGAGAAAAATGCGCTGAAAATATGTGCCAGTTTTATAAACTGATCTCTGGCTTTTCTCTTGCGAGCTCTGAAAGTGCGCCGTTCGCACCGAATGAATTTTTCTTGGCACTCGCTAGGCAATTAATTATTTTGTTGCACATCAGCAGATCAAGGCCCGAGTTTCTTTGCAAAATCAACGGAAATTCAACGTCACTAGGTGTAGAAATGAGGAGAACTTACTTCGTTTTAGAAAGAAATTTCCTCTAAGCAAAATGTTTAACTAGGTAAAAAGATTTTTACTCCACAAAATTATTTCTGGCAAAAGATCTCATTCAGGCTTCAGGCAACATGATTTTTTTTCTTTTTAAATTGAACTTCTTTGCAACATAGTCTTTGAAAATTAGTACCGTCATCAAAATAAACGCACTAAAATAAAGCAAAATTCTTGTTCAATAAAATTAATAAACTTATTGATTAATTACGATAAATTAAAACTTCTTGTTGTTAGACATTTTTGGTCTGAAATCTGTGATTAAAAAATATTTGAACCAAAAAATCCCTTTTAGTGCAGGAAGAAGAAGTTTTTTAATTTAAATTTGAAACGAAGAGGAAATTGCAGTAAATAATACATTATGTGTCCGTGTCAGATGGTTGCGTTTCAGTGCTTTGCCAAACCCAAACACTTTTCAGGCTTCTTTGCGCTAATCTCGTTTTGCATTTTGCATCCTGAAAAGCGATCCCTCTAGGGAGAGTGAAATTTGAGATGCGGAAGGAAAAGAAAATCAGCTTGAAGTAGAATTTTCTTCAATAAACCTTCTTTTCGCTGCTCCAGTTTTGATTAATTTTACGACCAAGTTGGTCTAATTGGCGTTTAGCAAACCAGTAGTTATCTGACGAGTCGATAATTTATGCAGAGTTGATTTTCTGAAACGGGACCCGCCACCGAGTGTAATCGATCCGACTCAATTACGCTTACAAGAAAATTGCAGGTGCGCGGAACAGCGCCCAAGGGGATCAGATTTTTCAATTCGCCTTGCCATAAAAATTTATGTATAAAGTTGTTTACAAAAGAGTTTGTAATAAAAAAAGGATCTGTAAATAAATTTCAAACATTTCAAATTGCGTTGTTTGACAAATTTAAGATAAAATTTGACGATTTTTTTTAGCATTTTCAAACAGTTTTTGCATTTAAAACTACACTGGTGTTAAATTCTTTATTTTAATTTTTAATTTGCTAAACTCTAAAATAATTCTGATGGGAGATATTTGCGAATTGACTCACAGCGATTCAAAATAATTGAGACGGACTTCTTTGGGCTTTTTCATGCAAAAGGATTTTCACATTTAGGATCGTATTAATTTTAAATAAAAATTTCAGGTTTATTTTGAGACTTGATACCAAAAATCTAAATTTTCAATTAATAGCTAAACCAGGAACTTTTTAATTTTTAAAAAATAATAAATTCCAGCAAAAAAAATCCTTTTATATTTGTATCGAATATTAAAAATTTCTCTATACATGTTGTGGTGAGTTTTGTGAGCTTTAATTGGCCGCGAAGCACAACAAGGCGTGTGAGAGCACACAATGCAAACGATCCCGAGGTGTCAAATTGCTAAATATGGGCTCAGCAGCTGCCGCGAGTGGGTGGGTGGGCGGCTGTGGCCCCGCAGACTTGGGCTCCGCGCCAGCCACACATTTTTTTTCCTCTCTCTCTCTCTTGTATTCGCAAAACTTGTCCTGCCAGAGAGAAGAAGAAAATAAAGGTCGTTTACACGACGCCACCTCTACACAGGTACATATAAATATTTCTCGGAGCCTTTTAAATTCGCATCTGCTTTAGAGAGAGATGACGCCAGCTGAGCTTCAATGCCATAATAAATGAATAAAAAACCTTCAAATTAGCTGAAAGATTTGGTTTTTTACTCGATACAACCCGATGATATCAAGATTTCATTTATTTATAAAATCCTATAAAAATCATAAAATCAAGAAATACGCATACCCGTCAAGCGCGCCATTGATTAAAAATGGCTCAAAAAATTTACAATCATCACCAAATGAGCATCAGAAAATTTATTTTTAATCAGATTTAAAAGATGGAAAAAGTATGGAGCTTTTGTTAAAAATTAATTTATAAACAAAACACTTAATTATTTTTACTTTTACAATAAAAAATCTGCGTTTTAATTATTTTAATTATAAATTCTTTTTTCTGGAAATATCAGATTTTAGATTAAAACAGATCACAAATTACTTTTCCCCAATATCTATTATCTGAAATCATTAAACGGTTTTGAAAAAAAAAAATTTGCAAAATTCTCTTAGAAAAAAAGTAATCTATCTTTTTGATATTATTACCTTTTTATTTAACCAAGATTTATCCATAAAATTGTTATAAAATAGTCCTGTTTTTTTGTCAAACAAAAACTGGCACGACGGGTTCCCGCGCGCTTCCCATCCGATGCCAGTTTTCTAAGAAGCTGATAAGCATTGATAAGCGCGCAACGTGTCGCCCCCCAAATGTTTGTTTGGCGTTGTGTGTTGTGGCGCAGGACTAGATTTCGGTTTAAATAAGAGATTATGCATTTTTTACCCATTCGGATATTTCACGCACCTTTCTCTGATTTGATCGTTCATATCTGTAGTTCGTTTCTTCTTTTTTTAATTCAATTATTTCGTCACAGATTGACGCACTGCATAAAAACAAACGATCAAAACATTCAAATAAACGACCGCCCGCATGTTGTTCCAATTCCTTATTTGGAGTTAATTTAGAATACAAAAAAGTTACGAAATGCAAATTGAGTGAATCTCAAAATCAGTCTGTTGCCTGCAAGATTTTTTTCCACACCAAGATGCTGAAAATTCCAAATCACTTGACGTGAATGATAAATTTTTGTCACTCTCAATAATAACATGAATTATTGATGCGCCGGTCGCCGTTTTAAATTTATTTATAATTAACGCATTGTTTCAAGTGCGAGTGACAGCAGACGAGAGACGCCTTTTGAAATTTAATTCAAAATGATCGCTTCAATTTTGTCATGACGCTCGCAGTTGAAGACGTGATCAGAAAATTCAATTATAAAAAGATATGATAATTGGAAGAAGAGTTATAAATATAGCAGAGCCAAAAAAGTATCGAATTAACTTGATCAAGAAATTTTTGCACTAGCAAATAATTAATTTACTAGAGAATTTAAAACTCATTATTTCCATTTTGCTTTTAATTTACAGACGTTTTCTTTAAATATGAAACGAATTTAATTTCGAACAGGAAATTATAATCAAAGTTTTTGTAATTTCATACATTTTTTAAATATAATCAAGCAATTATCAATTCTCTCAATTATGAAAATAGTAATTATTTTGTGAAAAAACTTATATTGACAATTTTTTAAGTAAATCTAGATTCGAATCGTTTGCGAATAAGGGAAAATTTCAGCGACTTGAATCATTCGTTCCAGCCGGTCTCACGCGGCGTAACGTGGCCGATCAGCTGCAAACACAAATGATTTTTATTTCGCCTCTTCGTGACCCTCCAGCTAACTTGCATGGTCTGGACGACGCCGATCAATAGCCGGAATAAATAGAGTTGCCACGCGTTATGACGAAGGAGCCCGCGGGTTCAATGTTTGGCCCAAATTCGGTTCACTTGAAATATACATTATACTGACGAGAGATGCATGAATAATTTCTAAACGTAAAATTAATCAGCAGATTTGAATCGTGACATGAGTTGAAGCAGTGAAAGTTTTTGCAAATGAACCCTGCGACCAGAATTAATTTTAGAGCCAGATGTCTGGACAGTTTTATTAATTTTTGCAATATTTTAGAAATGGTCATAATTAAATTTAAGAGGGGTATTTTATTTAAAATTCAAAACTGCTTTTATCCATTAATTGCAGTCAATTAATCAATGAATTTGGTACGCAATTAATTAATATTAATATTTACTGAATTTTCATAATTATTTAAAAAAATTAAATTATGACTTCCTTTAAAATGGTTTTTTTTATTTGAAGTAATTTAAGTGATCAAATATTCTTTTATTAAAATTGCAATACCTACTACTGCGGTGGAAGAATTGCTTAGTTCATCATGTAACATACCACGTGGTGTAACGAAAAGCTCAATATACTGCGTCTTTCAAAAGGAAACTTTCTTGCTCTTGTTGAATGAAAGAGAATCGGACAAACGGATTAAAAGTGTGTGTTTGTGCGCGAACGACCGTTGTTGCCTCATCGTCTCAAGCGTCTGTCGCGCAAAGTTCACGTTGTTTGTGAAAAGAAAAAAAAGACGAGAGATGTTTACGCCATCAATCGACTTGTGGGGCTCATTGACTGCAAATAAAGAGAAGCGGCCGATCTATCCCTATTCAATAATATATGTACAATTCATTTTTTACTCTAAATATTTATGATGAATTTTTATTCCAAAAGAATGAAAAGAATTACAAAATTATAACATTTCTATACAAGATTTTCCAGAAAATTTTCATTTTTTTTTAATCTTTCCGATAAAGAGAGCATTGAAAACAATCTTTTTCAGACTTGCAATTTACAAAATGTGAGTCAAAGTTTACTTCTTTCATTTATGAACTCATATTAATATATCAACGCATAATTACAGAGACAGAGTTTATTTAAATTCAAATTACACGAGTAGAGTGAAATGTAATTAATCTTAATTGTTTCGGACAAATAAAGAACAATAATGATTATTTATCAGATTTTTTTTTTAATTCCCAACAAAATGATTTAATTTTGTGACTTCCTATTTGTCATGAATAAATCTTGATAAAACTTAATAATTATTTAATTTAATTTTTCTTCTGCTTGAAATCTGCATTCCAAAGCAAAACTCGTGACGACTGAGCTGAGCTTTTCGTACGCGTCCGTCAACAGCTCAAAATAATAATGGGGCTGCTTTATCTGCGCACTATGTGGTCATTTGTGACGCTCGAGGACACTTTGCCAAGTCGAGCCCACCAAATATTGAAACGTGTGCTCAAGAAAAAAGCTTTTCACCCACTATTGTAGAGCAAGCGCGGCGACCCAAATAGTAAAAATCCTCTGCCCGATTTTCAAACGTCTTTTTTCGTCTACCTGCTCTGCTCGCCCTCAAGACAGATTTACAACCCTCGGCGGGGGGTGGCAAAGGGGAGGAAGAATGCGTTTCTAAGAAAAATAAGCGATACATTTCGGAGGGAAAGAGACTCACCATCTTTTGTTTGCTCTGTCAGTCCGCACTTGTTGATTTTGGCAGAAGTGTGGGTCCTGAAACGACAACAAGATTCACTGGTTATTTCCTGCTTTCCATTGATATTCAGAAATTTTATTAATTAAAATTATTTTTATTTGTTTTCTCCTAAATTTTGATATCAAATTCAATAAATAAATAAATCAAAGCTTCAAATTTCAGATTAAAAGTAAAAAATAACTATCATCATGACCAAAAAATTAGGTCTTTATTAAGAAAAATTCATCAGTTTTCTTCCACTTTTATTTTTACAATAAAATCTAATTCTTAATGATATTCCTAAAGAATTGAATTTTTTTACAAAATGAATATATATATTTCCTTCCGAGCTATATCATTAAAAATTGTAAATAATACAATTCTTTTGTGTTTCTCTGGTAAATTAGCCGAAATGAATTTTTCGCTTAAAATTCTCTCTCGAGTTAATTAACGCAGCACAGAAATAACTTTTTGTAATCTAGTTCTGTCTGGCCTCTCTCTTACAATAAGTCTTTCATTTAAAAACTCTTTCCTCCTCGAGCAATTATTCAACCAACGCGTGAATTCTCCTTTGATGCACTTTGGCACTTTTTGCGGAATCCGCTTGACTTGCAAAATGCAGTCAACTGACGAGCGATTTTTCGTCAGTGACCTGGAAAGACCGGCCGGCGAGACGCGGTGGCATTTCTAAAATATCTTCGCCTATCTTTGTCTTTCTTTGACAGAGAGGTGTGCCAAGGGAGAGATACATCAACTTGCGAATCGATACTAGATTAATTGCCTTTCGCAGTTGCTGACGCGCCCTTCACTTTTGAAATTTATTTTAAGAAAAGCTTAATAAACTTTCTTGAATTTCATGTTGAGATTTTTTAGGTAGCATCATAAGAATATAATTGAGGAAGAACAGAATTTAAGACAATAAACTTTTTTAATTTTTTTTTTCTTTAAATTGGCCAGACCAAAATTGATGAAAATTTCACCAAATCAATATTGAAAAAATAATATTAAAATTGAGATATTTATTGAAAATGTGAATTCCGCAGTAAATATTTTCACTCACTATCAGTGAAAGATCCAGGTTTTTTTTGCAAATAATTCAGCCTGATAAGATTGTATGACGTTTTTCCCTGATATAATCAAATTGACGCACGGGTCGCGCCCCAAGAGAATTCCGAGAGCATCAATTTATATTTGGCCTGCAATTCGTGGCGTCGAAACGAAGCCAAGCAACGAAATTAGAACCACGTGAATGGACGCGTATAGTTTTTTTTCCCAGCGAGACGACGCCGCGTGCAATCACCTGATACAGCACCAACTACGGCTTAATTAACAAAATCTCTCTTGACAAAATATTTGCTCAAAGCGTTAACAAGGAGCCACTGATTGAAAGTAGCGATAAAAAAAGGCGGAGTCTTCAATTTAAATTTTTTTAAAGCATTTTTTTAAGTCATTTAATTCCCATTGTAATGTATTTTTTACAAAAATTGAAAATTTTGCAAAGTAAAAAGATGATAAAAATGAGCTGTAGAATATTATAAAATTCTTAATTTTGAAACATAGCGGATTATTTACCAAATTGCTGTAATAATAAAACTACAAAACAATTAATTTACTTATAAATGACTAAAATACTTTCCAAAAATTGCCATTTGTTATACGTCGACCATTAAAATAAAAATCAATTCTATAAAATTAGCGATTAAAATTGAATCAATGTTTACGTGGAGTCCCTGTCACTGCACGGAGCGAGAAGTTGGTCTCGCGTTTTTCTTTCGTTGGACTTGACTTTCATGAGAGGGAACTCCAGATAAGGCAAGTTGGAGATGTGTGGTCTGTCGCGTTCTGATCTTTGGAATTGTTATTCCACTCTCGCAGCATCAGCAAATAATAAAGGATCACACAAAACCGGAGAGAGACCAGTATTCTCAGTTTGCTTATTGCTGAATAAATATCTATGGCTGCATGCAAATATTTAAACTGATCGGCCCAGGAAAGAGCCTGAGAATAATTTTTTCAAAAAAATTATTATATTAATTTTTTTTATTAATTAAATAAAAATAATAATTAGATTCCAACATGTGAACCTAAAAATCTTTGGAAGATGTAAAATTGGCGAACTGAAAGAGATGTAGCTTAGGATTTTTTTGGCGGAATATATTTAATCAATCTATAATTTATTAGAACTGTAAAGGATGTGTTTATTCTTTATTTATGATTTTTATCACCTCCAAAACTAATAATGATCTCAGCGAATTTTATTAAATTTGATTCAAAAATTATATTTTACTTCTTTGGGAAAATAGATTCTTTTTTAGATTTGAGGCCTATTTAGCAGAATTTAACTTTTTACTATTGTTACTTTTTGATTATTTTTTATAATTGTTCCAAATGTCATAAGAAACTTCAAAGAAAATTATCATCTTTCAATGGCAAAAATTTTGTAAAATTAATGCATAAATACAGCTGTTAGCCTTTAATTTTTACAACAGAAACATATATCAATTAGGAAAAAAATACTCACTAGCGTTTTTTTAAACGAGGAAATTATGATTATTTGTCGATTAAACTCTCAATGCATATTATCAGAAGTAGGAAAGTGGTAAGCTTATTTAAATAAATTAATTTTCCGCTCCGAAGCGCACAGCGAGCGATAAAATTATTTGCCAAGTCATTCATCCATCACGCGCGGTGTGTTTTTGCGACCCCAATTTGGTGACGGGGGCGGCTCGGTGTGGCCAACGCATGGCAAAATCCGCTGGTCGTGTTGCATCAGCACCCCTTTCGGGGCGCCTGCGCTTATGCAACCGGCGGGGCGTGCGGCTCCGAAAACTCGGAAAATATTTCAGCTGCAAAATGTCGGCCTCAAAAGATAATGTAGAAGCAAAACTCACGTGCGAGAGATCGCTTTGTTTGCATCTGACCATTGTTTGGACCAAAAAAAAAAAAAACAGAATACGAGAAACACGTGGACCGCCATCGGAAGTGACTCATTTTTTATTTCTGTTGGTTTTGCCAACATCAGTGGAAATTTATTATCATTTTTTTTTAATGAAAACAAAAATTAAACCTAAATAAATTATTTTTATTGGATTTCAGTGAAAATGTTTTGTTCCGAATAAGTTTTTATGAATCAAGATAATTCCAGTAATGATTGAAAAATGCTTACGAATTTGTTGCTGGGACGAAGCTGCTCACCACATGGTCTGCGCCAGACTGGATTCTCGACAATCTCAACTCGACTGTTCCCTCTACAGCCCCTTCGTTGTGCGCCGGTCCCCCTCCAAAGTTTCACGCCGCCGGTGTTCAGAGTGCGCTTGTCGCGGCGGCGCCAAAAGCAGCCTCTACCGTCGAGCAGGTTGCATACGCGCAAGTGAATTAATTTTAAAGTCTTTTAGCAAAAATTATCGCAGTAAAGAATGATTGCAACCAGGAAAAGGTTCACTACGAGAAGAATCATTTCTGCACAGATGGGAATTTCTCGGTTCGTGCGCGATTTATAAATTATTTGCAATCCTTAGATTAACAATCCCAGCAAAAAATTAACTTTGCCTCGCTGTAGTTTCACGATAAACTAAATGAACAACACTTCAACACCATATTAATCGTGCAGATAAATGATTTTGCTTACAAAACCATTGTGTAACATGCGTTACCCATTTAATTATATTCAATTTTATAAAATAGCATGTATGATTTTGAGCTTAAAAAGTAGAAACGAAATGGAATTCCACAAATGATTTATTACGATTTTGCAAAATGTCAGTTAAAACAAAACAACTAAAGCTGAATTAGTAATAATTTTTTGTAAATGAAACAAAAATTACAATTTATTTTATTTTTTAGCTTAGTTTATTCATCTACGCGAATACGGAGTTCTCCGTCGTTCCGACTAGGTTCTGCACATCCCCTGCTCTGGAGGCAAAATAATTGAAACAAAATTATTAAAAAAGTAATGAAGCTACAATTAATTAGATGCAAATCCAAATCAGATATTTAAAATAAAATTTACAGGACAATTTTGAACTAAAAATCAAACGGCCTTTTTTGACAAGGGATGATTTTTATAATATAATAAAATTGTGATTTTTGAAAAGAAAACTCACAATTGTCTGCAGGCGGAACTGGCGAACAACTGGACCTGGTTCATCTGGTGCGTCCTCCCTGTCATCGTCAGCACTTGGAAAATAGCAGCAGCAACACGTTTTGATGCAAATGTTGCAGAGAATAACGCACAATATTAGGCAAACGTAGGCTGAGATAAGAAAAGCATTCTCTGCTTCTGTAGACATTTTCTAGTTCTACAAACAAATCATTTTCAATATTTTAATAAACAGAGACATAAAAATAATCATTAATTGCACAACGCTCGTTAAATTTTAATGTCTAGCTCAAGCTGTAGATTTATACAATAATGGTTAGTTATAAAAAATTTTGAATTTTGAATGAAAATTTAAATTCGCATTTAAATCAGTAAATTGTTCACTTTTAATTGATTTAAATATCTTTGTGTACAATAATTATATGTTGTAACTAAAAAGTTATTTATTAACTATATCCAATTGTACTTTAATTTGTTTTTAAATTTAAAGTAATTATTAGAATAGAGAAAAACATTTAATAATAAAAGATCAAATTGGAATTTAAAACCAAAGAAATCTTTGTAACTGAGGAAAATTTTAATTAGTAATCAGAGTAATTTCCTTAACGTAGATTTACGTTCTGAGGCGCAAGATATTTGAGTCAAAAGACAGTCAAGAAATTTCCTGATGTGATAATTAAAAAAGCTAATTAAGTTTGAAAACAAACATCTTTAAAATCACACCAATTAATTCATTTTTCCTTTTAAGACTCCAGCTCAGCGAGAATGTTTTATTTGCAAACACTTTTGCTTTCAACTTGAGTATATGAAAGTTTAAAGTTGATTACAAAAATTGAGATTCGGGCACAAAAGCAATGGGGGAAAATTGAATTTTAAGCTTAGAGTATTAAAAAAAAACTTTCATGAAATTTGTTCCAGCTCAAAACTTGACCACAAAAGGATAAATTAATTGAATCTGCCCGTATATATAGACCTCAGAATGTAATTCCACGCAAAGGCGATTATCGCTTAATCTAGTTGATAATAAAAAAGATTCAGTCATAGAATTTGAAAGGAATAATTTAATTTAAAAAGTAAAATGAAAACAACAATGTTAAAATCTACCTGAAGAGCCTTCCTTTTGCAAAGAAATGAGCTAGCGTTGACCTAGGTGCGTGTTGAGTGGAGGACTGCTCGGTGTGAAATGGAACTTGATGAGATGCTATGCGTGCATTTCATCTCTTCTTTTTCCTTGTATTAACTTGCAGTGCCTGGACCTGCAGCCTGCGTCGAGCTGAATTATATATTTCATGTAATTCCCGCGCACACGGTCTGATTACGAGATTGGCGCTTTTCACTGCCACTTAAGCAAAATTCAATAGAGCATTTTACTTTATTGAATTAATGACCATCACCATAAATAGTTTTCAATGAATATCATGTTGCCGCGATTATTTTGTTTTCCAGCTTCAATTTATAACGTTTGATGTGGAGCCATTCATTCATTATATTATATATAAAGCAGCTTGCATGAGCATGCAGTGAGACTGATCATTTCAAATCCTTTCACTAGCTCGTTTTGCTATTATCTTATAATTTGTAACAAAATTTTAAACAAATGAGTATCTGTCTAACAGATTGCATACGCGCAGAGCAAGCAATTTAATAGAAAAATGTTATTTTTTAAAGGGTGGATTCGAACCTTGGAAAAAATTTTTAGGAAAGACCATACATGGATCGATCTACAGCCAGAAAACGTTGGGTCACCGCATTATATTTTTCAAATCTGAATCTCTTATTCAGCAAAAATTGTCGCTCGCCCCTTTAAAAAAGAAAATGGTAACAGACCAATACAAAAACCAAGTCAGGTTTTCAATGTCGTTTTACATATCAGGTGACAATTTTTTTTTTAACAAAAATAGATTTAAAATTTCAAAACAATGAAAATCGCCTATAATGTTCAATTAGCGATTTGAAATTGACAACTTTGTCACATTTAAAAACAAGTTAGTGAATTTGATTCAAAATTGGATAAATTTTGGTAAGGGAAGAAGATCTATAATCCAATTACTAGAAAAAAAGACTATTTACCGTTTCAAAAGAAAGCGAAACTATGAATTATAAAGCAGGCAGTCTCTTTATTTTTGAAAATAAATAGATGTTTCATCCAAACTCTTAAAAATTAAATGCTGACCTTAATCGTCCTCTCCAGATGAAAAGCTTGCATCGTCAAATTGACCTGGCTCACTGGGCAAGTCTAGTTTAGGCAAAGTCCTAAACTCCTCCTTATTCACCCACAAGTCATCAGTTCTTTCAATTCTTCCAGCAGTGCCTTTGGATCATATTAATCATTTAAATGTTAAAAAAATTAATTATCTTTAATTACATAGTTTAGGATTGAACTTGAAATCACTTTCGTCACTGGATGAGTCCCACATCTCATCAGCACAAGCGACCTCGTACCTTCCTTTGTAGCTTTCGTCGTCAAAATCGCTGATCAAAAGTAAGCAGATTATAAAATAATTACACAAGGAAAAGTACCTCTCAAAAGAAAACGCAGCTCCGATATAACATTCATTTTCATCCGACTGAGAACCTTTGGATAATTTAAAAAAATTAAAAATTGCCGAAATAATAAATTATTTTTAACTATACCAAACTTTTCAAATGGCTTTTTATCAACAGCCGGGCCCACAAGACGATTTTCAACACAAGACTTTCGATAATTTTCCAGAAGTTCATTATATTTACTTGAAAACTCGGCATCCTGTAGATAATTGTTTAGAAATGTTAGTTTTCTCATTGCTCAAGCATTAATTGACTTACAACAATGGATTCAAAATTATTATAAGATTATCGTAGTTGCAGATTCTAATTGTAAGATAGAAATATTAAAATAGTTTCCTTTTGGCCCATCAGTTACTTAAATTTTAATAAATTTTTAACCTGTAGAATTTGGTAACCTTTCAAGAAATTATTTTCATACTTAAAATCTACTCTTTATGAATAATTTGAATCCATCATTTAATTTCAATTTTTGACCAGCGAGCTGTAATTACCTGAGTGGTGCTGAAGAAATTCATTTCACAATCCAATTTTTTAAGCTTTGGAAGAGAAAAAAGTTGGCTAGGAAAGTGATCAAGACAATTTTGATACAAATCTAAAATCTCCAAGTTCTCCAAATCCGACATTGATGCAGGGAGGAAGGAAACCTGTTGTAAAAAATGTATATATTACATGATAAAATAATTTACATCTATTAAAAAAACCTTGTTTCTGGACAATTTGAGGCAACGTAGGCGCCACAACTTTCCCATTGCCAAAGGCAAATCTGTGAGGCAGCATTTTGAAAGATCAACCCACTCCAATGCGTCCATTTGTGTGAAGCTTTCGGGCAGGAAACTGAAGAAATTTCCCCGCAAAATAATGATCCGAAGACTCGTCAGGTGGTCAAGTTTGTCAGGAAGTTTCCACAGACCCAAATTTCGCAAATCGAGGACTTCCAAGGTGCTGCTCAATGCAAAGCCAATTTCAGGACTGCTGTTGACATTTTCTCCACCTGCCGAGAAAGTGAAATAAAATTTCCATAATCAATTATATAACACTCAAAGTGTCTGAGGGAAATTGGACAAAAAAGGGGCCTGATCTGAAGTTTGAATAATGTCAAAGGAGGAGGTCAATCAATTTTAGGATCTCAAAAATAGTGTAATTTCATCCTTACACTTAAATACATTTTTCAGGCCAATCAACTTATGCTCAGTTTGCTCTTGAAGAACAAATTTAAAGACTTGAAATCACTTCAAATCTCAAATTATTAAATTTAAATTTTTTTCTTGTTAATTACTATTTATGCTATAGAATAGAGGATAATGACCATTTTAAGAATTCATTACAAGTTTGATGCAAAACTTCATGAACAGAATTTCACAATAAACCTCCGTGAAAATTTGAATAATAAAAAAAAATATTCAAAGAGCGAAATGATAAAAATTGGATCATTCTTCCTTGTTTTATTTTTTTTGTAGGTCTCTTTGGACAAATTCTGCAAAATTTCTCTCTAACTGGATCATAAAATCTCACTCGAAATTGTTCAAATTTAAGTTTTTACATTTTGAAACGGAAGTGTCTTCGTTGCCCAGATTTAAGTGTGTGATTTTCTTCATGAGACGCAAACCCAACGGGAGGCTAGTGAGTCCACAGTTCTGCAGATTCAAAGCCTTCAAGTTGCTCTGCAGAGGTGCAATTGACTTGTATCCGGACAAAATAAAAAAGCGCTGCCTACAAGAATAATTATTAAAAAAATTAAAAGATTAAATAATCATTAATTACGTGAGTGAAGGAATTTCAAAGTTCATGCAGTTGTGGTTGAGGGACAAGAGGGTGAGTCTTGGAGCGTTGATGAACCAGCCGGGCAGGCCGGTCAGACAATTGTGGTCGAGCAGGACAGTTTCGATAGAGCCAAGCCACGCCGGACAAGTGCACTCGGCGTGCACCAGCTTGTTGTGGCTCAGGTCCAAGTGCTGCAGCCGCGGAAGGCCCAGAATTGCGACAGGGACGGTCTGGAACGAGTTGTGCCGCAAATCGACCCACACCAAGTTGGTCAGCGTTTTCAGCCGGACGTTCAGGAATTCCAACCTGTTGCGCCGAGCCTATAAAAAATTTATTGATAATTCATATATAATTATTTTTGAATAATTATATGAAGATGCATATGAATTTGAATTAATTTTGAGTTTTATAAAGAAAGAGAAAAATCCACCTCTAGAACTTCTGAATCCAACACGTGCTGCAGACTTTTTGGCACCGAAGTTAACCCTTGGTCATTCCAATCGATCACTTTTTTGGTGAGTCGCGAAAACGCAGGCGGTGGATGGGGATGGAAGAGCAACAGTGGCGGCGATAAGGGTGGGATGGGCGAAAGTTTCCACGGGTCCCGTCTGCTTCGTGATGCAGGTGGGGTCCCCGCAAGCACCATCGTTTCGTCCATGGACAAAAGTGAAAAACAAAAACACAATTTTTTTTGGCAGCCGATTTACTCTGTAACAAGAATAATTATTCTTCTTGCTCTGTAACAAGAAGGCTCTGTAAACAACCAATGTTGCCAACATTTATGATTTCAAAATGTTTTATTAATTTTAGGGAATTTTAATTTTGTTAGGTTTCCGCTAGTGTTTGTGCGGCACCATGAACCAATGAAAATCAAAGTTGTGCGAATTGTTACAAGGCGGAATTGAGGCGGAAACTGGAAGAAGACAAGTTCAAACATTATGCACAATCGTGGGTGCTGCTGGCTGCGACTGCTGGAAGCTGGAAGTGCTTATGCGTGGTGCACGTCGCTTGCCCTGCAGCTAGACCCTGCTCTGCAGTGCGTGTCTGGCGACTCTGGCGTGTCTGCGTGTTTTGCGAGGCGTTTTAGAAGTTTGTATGTACTGCTTTTTTATAAAAAAAAAAAAAAAAAAAAAATAGTTGTTTACGATTGTGCAGTACGCAGGTCATGGCGAATCGGTGATCGCGGTGGTGTCCGTGCCCAGTCTACACGCGCAGCTAGTGAAGTTGTGATCTTGGACAGTCATTCGAGTTATTCATCTGCAATTCTGCTGCTTCGGCACTTATTTAAAAGGTATAATGATATATATATGGAATGGAATTAAGGAATATTGGGATCTGGGATGGGATTAATTGAGTCAACAATAACAACATCTATTCTTTTGAATCTATGCACTGCAGTTGTGAAGAAGTGAGCAGACTTAAAGCTACACAATAAATTATATTATGTATATTATAACGATTAATTGGCATTTGAGTCGGTCGAAATATACAAACACACATATATGTTTATTTTTCTGAATGAGTTTCAGTTAAATCTTAATTAATTTTTGTATATTGACTTGATGTTAAGCGATGTAGTGTATTTTAATATTTTGAATGGAGAATAAATAAATAATTATGCATACTTAATCAGCGTCTCGTTGAACTCGTCGACTTTTTTTTATAAATAATAGCAATAATAGACCACGCCAATCATCATTGTCATGATGGCTTAAAAATTCACATGTTACAAATTCGGTAAGAAATAAAATATTTATTAAAAATCGTAGGTGCACAATTAAGATAAAATACAAACAATAATAATTACAATAATTTTTTGACATCGATTCTTTTGAGAAATTGCTGCAAAATATCTTCAGCCAGCAAATTATTATTATTTATTCTTCTCAGTCGATACAAAAATATTAAATTTGAAAAAAGAAAGAATTAAGTGGGTTAAACACTAGCAGATGACTGCTAAAACGCCTGATATCAAATAGGAGACTCGGCCACCACAGTAAACCCCAATTTTATGTTATAATACTGTACTTTCTTAAGAGGTTTTTATTTACTTGAATTTACGGAAACTGTGCGAGAAAAACTTGGCTGTAAAGAATGGAAAACAAACCAAGATTTTGACGTTTAATTGAGTTATTAATTTTTAAAATGGCTCAAAAATTAATAAGGGCGATCCAAAAGGCAAACTTGGCCCTGGCTAAATGAACCTGGCCTGGGCTAATTTAGCCTGCCATTCAATTTTGCTGGTGGGCTTAGTTAGCCCGGGGCTACGTCAAGTTAGCCTGGGCCTGGTTATTCTTTTGGATCGCCCTCAATTTTTTTTTTTTACTCAAAAATATTAATTTTTGATCCATTTTAAAAATTAATATCTCAATTATAAGTCAAAATATTGGTTTGTATTCCACTCTTTAAAGCAAGTTTTTCTCGCACAGACGCACAGTTTCAGTAAAATCCACGTAAATCTCTTACAAATTTAACCCTGAAACTGCTTTACACTTTACAACCCAAACAAAGAAACTACACTCTAGAACAGACAAATCACACGCTCACTAACAATTATCTGAGAATGATACTGTACGTATATATTTGTATAAATTCAGTATTATGTACTCTTATTTTAAAATTTATGTTTATGAAATTACCAAAATCCAATTGGATTCTTACGAACATTACGAAGAGGCGTTAACGTGTTATTCTTAAGGCTTATTTTTATATGCATTTGTGCTAAATGATGCATTTATATTAATTCTAATTCTAAAAACATTTTTCTGCCAGGTTTGTAAAAGTAAATATATTGTTTCATCTAATATGAAGGTTGCACTGTACTTTTACAGCGTAAAATGAATGGAAATCTTTTAATAGCATGAAAAATCAACATCTTATAAAGTATCTTGAATAAATAATATTCAAAGTTTACCTTATGGTTTTTCAAGATTTTTGTTAATTGTTTGTAAATGAAGTTGAAAATTTTGAAAAAATAGTTAACCATTAGATCTTAAGAATCTTTAGGCACACAAATAATTGATTTCAGGGAATCGTCAGTTTCATGTGGCGCCTGTGCCAGATCATGACCTGGTAAAGACTGTGGAACATGAGGTTTATCAGGAATATTTAGACCAGTTGGACCTTCTAACTCCTCAACGCGTCTAATAATATCATCATCATTTTTCCCTCCGTCCTCTTTTTCTTCTTCTCTAAAGTTAAAGTTTACCTCCACGTCTGCCGGGTCTTTGTAAATGTTGCCCTTGCACCTTTCAAGACCCGCCCGAATGATTTTGCTGTTCAGGGTGTAGCCCCTGTTGACCCAAACCCACGCAACCTTCCTCTTGTCGTTTGTCTCCCAGTAGTTCTCTTGGTTTATCTTCGAGTGAATTTCCTTGTCATATTCCTCCAGGTTGACGCACTCTCCAGTAGAAGGTTTCACTTTGATGCGCTCCACCCAAAGAGAATTCAGGGTCCTCATTTCTCCCGGTAGGCCGAGCCATTTCAGCCAGGCGTGGATTTCTGTCAGCAAAATTTCAAACTCGAAAATCATTTCGCACTGAGCTATAGTGCTAAAGATGTGGGCCTTCTTCTCCAACTCTGTGGTGATGTTGATGGCCAAACCGTTCATCATATTGAAAATGCAGCAGGTCATGAGAAATATGAAAGCACCAAAGAGGAACTGCAGGTGAGGACTGGCCTCAAAGCTGAAGGTGTCGAAGGAGATTTCACCCATCATCATCGAAGGCACCTTCAGCATGGTAGTGTAGATGGTCTCAAACCCTGTGGCGCAGCCGTCGGCTGATCCAGACTCTAACTTGCACTTGTTTGCCACAAGGAAGAAGCCCAGGGCAAAGCCACCAATTAGTCCAATTGCAAAGATGAGGAACTTGATATATCGCAGAAGAATCTTGACAAGCATGTAGCGAAAGGGGAGGATGGAGGGGTGGTTCGAGCATACGTAAAAGAGAGAAAACCATGAGGCGATGACCACCAAAATAGGGTTGATGGCATCCACCAGGTACAGAAAGGCAATCACCCACAGGATGTACTCGTACCAGTCGGACCAGAGAACCTCTTCCCAGTAGTACTCAAGGAGACGTTTGATTCTGCGAGGGTTTATCTTGGCATTGACGTAAGTGGAGGACTTTTTGAAAAAGGATGGTACCAAGACAAAGACAGACAAGAGGCCAAAGAAGACCTGAATGGCTAAGAAGACGTGAATTCCTCTCAGGGAAAGGTCCATCAAGCTGTCATAGGGAGTGTCCAGAGTTGAATTACCCATCATGCGAAGGTCATGCTGCATCATCAAGATTGGGTGGGCAGAGAGGGAAAGCACAAATGGCAAGAAGAACAGCAGTTTCAGCAGAAAGAACTTCTTGATTTTCTGCCACTTGACAGAGACGATAGCCTGGCAGAGGGGGTGGAGGGCAAGAGTCTCCACGTTAGGAGTCTGAGCGATAGCTCTGATGTTCTGCATGTCACTACCACTGGCGTGGTGACCAAATAAGTTGGTGAAGATTACCTCAGTGTGGTCCTTCCTAGAAGTGTCCCCTTTGGTACGTTTCAATTTGACAAGTTGAGTGTGCTTGTCCAGCAATTGCTCGAGTCTCTGGTGCGAAATCCAGTCAATGGGTGCATTGCCCACTTCATTCTTGACGCCCAGTAGGGCGTTGGCCTTAAGAATCTTAGCCAACCATCGGGTGCTGGCCTCTTTGCTTATATAATGCAGCGCCGTGTCACAATCATCGTCACTCACAGTAGCATCTGCTCTGGCCTGCTTGTCCAAGATGATGCCCATGATTTCATATCTGTTAAGAAAAAATAAATACTTTTTAATTCTTCCATATAATATATACCGAACGAGAACAATAAATATTCATAATGTTTAATACAAGATCGTTGAAAAATTAAATTAATTAAAATTTTTTTGGGTATGTTATATTACGCGCGACGTGGTTCCCAAAATCCCCGATTTCAGTTGGCAACAATTGCGTTACGTCGCGCATACAATACTGGTTTTACGTCGTGCATACTATACTGCAGGTTTTACGTCGCGCCTTCAATACTGGTGGCGGTGTAATTGTTAAGGAAATCGATTTTTTACCTTGGAAACCGCGACGCAATTCTTTTAATTCAATCTCAATTTAGGGTACTGCTAGGAAGAATAGGGAGCCCTTTGGGATGGGTTCAGAATGGGGAAAGACGACTTTTCGATGGGCCGTACACACCATTATGCAGGCGCGACGCACCTCTTCGCTTTTGGAGAAAAATATTATATATTATTTATATTATATTACATTTAAAATTAATTTCTTATTTTTATCTTGCCTGCTTTTTTCAGTTTTAAATTGTAAATATTTCTTTTTAAAATTGGTATGGCGTATAGTGGCACTTAACTTGCAACAATCATGGTTTTAGATTGCAAACAAAAATTTTAAATCTACCTGTTGTTCTTGGCAGCATAGAGAAGGGGTGGTCCGAACTTTCCTTCCTGCCTAAGACACTCTTCCTCATCAGGATGCATGCGGTAAATGTGGCTGAATGTGCTCAAGTCCCCTCCACTTGCAGCCCAATGTAGGGGCGACTCTCCGGCATTGTTCAGCGTTTTTATATCTTCATGACTAACTTTTTTTAAAATATAGTCCACACACTTTGTGGATCCGTAGAGGGCTGCAAAATGCAATGGAATGTTTCCTCCCTTTTTCTCCTGCAGAGACAGGTCCGAGATATTGATAAATTTGTTCTTTAACAGGAACGCCAAAATGTCACTGGTTGGGTTCATGGCTGCATAGTGAACTAAACGAAGCCCCGACCGGCCCAACCTATCTTCAGCAGAATTTACAGAGGTGGTCCAAACTTTCTCATCTAGGTGCAATGCCAAACGTTGAGCCAGGTCCACGCTCTTGTTATTTTGTTGTGGAAAGAGAGCATGAAACATTGTTAAGGTGGCAAATTCGCATAAGAGTGCTAAAGGGCTGGTCTCTTCATTGTCGTAGGTCACCAGGCAGGTGAGGATATCAGCGACCCGAGATTTCTGCTTCTGCTGACAATAAGTCTCGATAGGGAGGGGAACATCCTTGATCAAATAAAGTTTCTTCGCTCTTTCCATGATACTGAAAACGTAACAGTCAAACTTCTTCTCAGTGGTCAAGTTTGCGGAATAAGATTTGAATAGCCTGTCCACTTTAGTTTTTGTGTCGGAAATTTCCGACTTCCGTTTCTGCATGGCTTCGAATATATCTGTGAAACTTATGTACTTGTCATCGTAGTCAAGATCCAGCAAAATCCTTATCCTCCTGATGTCCTTGGCCACCAACCGCTGCACCAGCAACTCTCTGAACAGTTTGTGTCGCTTCTCATTTGGTTCCTTTTCATTGCACGCATCAAAATTAATTACGAAGGCGACTGATTGCTCAAAGTTTGAATACTCGCCCTGGTAAGTCAGCAATTCGTCAAGTATTTTTTTCTGATCGTTGCTCAGATCAGATTCTTTATACGCCTTCAGACTTTTGAATGGCTTCAACAAATGCCAGTGATTGTAAAACAGGTGTGATTTTTCTTTTAATTCCTTCCTGTACTGGCTCCGTTTGTCAACAAGGTAGAACTTTCGGACAGCGTCCACGTCTTTCATGTCCATTAAATTTTTCAAGTCGTCAGTTTCATATTTAAGAATGAGCTGCACATACTGGCGCACCTTGTAGCAGTGGTGGATGCTGGCGCATAGGTAGCGAGCGTGGTTTTGAATGTCTAGAATAATTTAATTTATTTTTTCATCCATCAATAGACCACATAAATATTGGTTAACTCTAACCTTCATCGGTCAGCTCAAGAGATTCAGTGGATTCACTCTCATTATCTGTTGGACCTGTTGAATCCCTTGTTGTCAAGAGGCGCTGCTCTAAAATTTTTCACAAGCAAAATTAACAAAAAATTGATAAGTTCTCCTAAAACAGACAAATTAATTTCCAAAAATTCTGATACATAACATTTTACATGGCAAAAAATCTAAATTTACCATTTTCTTTATCTTTAGCATTGTCTCGATCAGTTTCAGCACTTGCAGTGTTGCCCATTATGTTCTGAAAAATAGTAGGAATATTTTTATTTTAAATAAAAATTATTTAAAATTACATCTTTCGTAAAAAAAAGTATAAAATGTAGAAAGAAGGAGATACATATATGTTGAAAATATTTATAAATATAAATGTAATAAGTAGGTCGTGTGTTCTATTTCATGATCACTTTATGATATAAAAGTTTTTAAATTTTTACCAGATGCAGAATTTAACAGGCTACATTTGTTTCTATACCACGGAAAAAATCCGAGGTATGCTAATATGAGAAAAATGGCCTTGAAAAATAAAAATGCATTTACTGACCATGACTTTAATATAAGGTATTTTTAGCCAACAGAAAAGTTGTTCACAATTGAAAAACAGTGAAAACCGCATTGCCCTAGTCCTCTTAGAAATAGAAAAACAGAAAAATATCAAAATACGGCATTTCGGCTAAACGCATCTTTTTAATTTTAAATTTAGTGTAAATATCGCGAAAACTAAAAATAACGCCATCGCGAATTTTACTGACCAGTTGTAGAATTAAACGGCCTACATTTTGGCATTTACACAAAAAATATCAAAAATATACTTTTTTGAGAAAATGGGCCTTAAAAACTCAAAATGCATTTTAGTGACCTTAACCTTTCACCTACGACATTTTGGTCTACAGAAAAGTTGTTTAGAACAAAACGTTACCTACTAAAGTGAAATTCCATGAATTTAAAATTGATACGAGCAAAAACATTAGCATTTTTGAATTTTTCAAAAACGGAATATTTCAAAAAGAAAATAAAACTTTGTCAAAGTAGTTTCTCATCAACGCTAACAACATATCTAAAAATCAGAGTGGTGCTCGTAAAAAAAAAAAATCTGTCCAATTCATCTTAAATCATTCAATTCATGAACGGTTCGTTTAGTAAATTTAAAATATTCTCTTTGCAATGGATTTTAGCTGATATACAGAAATTAATCCATATTGAAAAACGGTGGAAGGTTCAACCTTCAGGAACAGTTCGTCGCAGATAATTATTCTCTTCAAACTATCATCGCTCAGCTGATAAAGCCGCTGAAAGTTGCCGAATATTTGCTTATGCAAACCTGCTCGACACTCTCCATGCAGCCGACGAGCATGGAGAGAAAAAAGAACTATCGCGTAAGAGGGGCTGAGCTCGTATAATATACTGCTTGGTGAATGGTGGACAGTCAAATGTCCCGCAGTACACATGTCCCATCGCAAAGTGGGCGAATGTCCCAAGCGCGCGAGCCAATCAGAGCGCAGTAACGTGATCACGCGGCGCATGCGCCTTGCCGCTATATTTCAGATGTCAAACGGACAAATGTCCCACACTGGAGCAATGACAAATGGAGCAAGTGGAATACGCATTTATTAAACTTTTCTTCTTTCCTTTTTAGAATTCAAGTTGCCATTAAAAGTCGCTGGCTATATAAATATTCTATTTCATTTTTTTTATTTCAATGTTTTTATAAAATAAATTATCGTTGTAACAAAAACACAATCTCCAGCAACCCCACCAAGTAGCATGAGCTTTTGAAGAGGTCTTGTTGAGAAGATAATTTTGGTCATAATTTTTGGTCTGTTCATCGACTGCAAGCCGCATAATTGTACTTTTTAAATTCACTGCTCATAAAAGTGCAGTGCATTTAATTAAACAAAAGTACAATAATTTGGTTTTTTGTCGAGGTACAGACCAAAACATGGCAACCAAAATTATCTTCTCAACAAGACCTTTTCAAAAACATATCATACATCTAGGTTAGGTGACCTCAGGTCACCAACCTGGGTGACTTTTGACATGAAGGTCTTCAAAGGTCATTGACATATACATCATTCGATTGATCTTGACGTGGGGGTCGACTTTGGTCATTATAACGTTTTACCTAAAATCATCAGGGATGAAGGTAAAGGCGATTATAATGTTGACCCTGCCTTCGGAGTTGCAAAAAACCACGTTTTTTAATATTCTTATTATGATTAAATTTAACAAAAAATAACCTCATCACAAATTTGAAATATATTACGAAAAATTTCACGAGGAATCGTTTGGCTATCTCAAAATTAATTCAAAATGGTCGGCTGGTATTCAATTTTGAGTTTGAAAATTTACGCTCACAAAAATTGATCTTGACCTTCGACCTACAAATTTGCTTTTAATAGATTAGTTGTAGAACTTGCTGAGACAAGCTCAACCTTAACCTAAAAATTGTTCTACGACCACTAGAAGCAGAGATACTTGCATTTTTTTATTTTTTCAAAATGTCTTATAAAACCCGCAATTTTGAAAATTTTTTGATAAAAATTTAGGAAGCTTGCCTTGGAACTAAGATGATCAAGTGGTGTAAATCTCATATTGATATCTTTAACTTGGGGCGGGGTATGTGAGAACAGAAAGAATTGGACAAATGTAAAAATTTGGAAATACTGAGTAAACCATTAAATTTTTTTATAAAAATTTCAGCACTCGCAACATAATAGTAGGTTTCTGATATTATTTTACTTTCGTCCAGGCACATATATCATGGGATTATTTGGGCGTCATGTGTCGGTAAATATTAAATTATAAATTATACTATAAAATTCCAAAATTTCATTAAGAAAATTATATCAACTTAATGTTTTTTTTCTGGTAATGACAATGTTTTCAAAAGAAAAAAAACAGTTTAGTGCTTTAGGAAATAAAAATATTCATTTTTACATTTTTAGAATGAAATGAGTTTTGATCTTGTTCGATTAAAAAAAAATTAAATTGCAACTACTAGATTCAGCCACGATCTGAGTAAAAAAAAAATATGCATTCAAATTAACCAATAAATATCTCCTGTCCTCTCCCAATCAATCCGTCTAAATCTATCTCATTCTAGAAATTATCAGTCAGCGAGAGGTGCGTCTCCTCATGAAATATTAAGTTGGTACATAAATTTATTTAATTTCAAGATTCCAATTATTTGTTAAAAGATTGGTTTCTAAATTTTGCTCGAGTATATAAATTTTTTTTTTATTTATATTTAGTTTCAGATGACGCAGACCATGACCGAAGCTAGCAGAGAGCAGTCTTATTTTTCAATAACAATTTCATCTCTCAATTACCTCCCTTGTTTGAACCTCTCCTCGAGTTACATTTTCTTCACTCCATTTTATGCTCATGGATTCTTTTTTCCGTAGCAGCTGCTTCGCTACAATTTTTTTCAATTCTTAATATTAAATCCATCTATCAAAAAATATCTCTTTCTATAAAACATAAATTTTTAACTGATTGTTTTGCTTTTTAAGATTTCAGGCGTTAAATAAGGTCCATACTTCCATATTAAATAAAGACGTTAGAATTTATGGAATTTATAAAGTACGTGCAGCAGGTTCAAATCAAAATCGCAATCCATACATTTTTGCGAGCTAGGCCAATCTCGCGTCTCTCGCGCTGGCCTTTTTTTAAGATTCGTCAGCAGTGGTAAGTCGAGCGGGTTTGTATAAACAAACGGCAACATTTGGCTTATTCTTACAAGTCGGCCGACCCATGCTATACATCGTGACTGATTGTGATTAATTTCGACGCATCGTTTCTGAAGTTGAACTAACAAATTAAGACTAATTTCTGAATTTTCTGCTGTAAAATACAAAAATTGCACATTTCATTGTATATAATAAAGAAACTTAAACAAATTCAAAGAAGCAAAAAACACTATGCGCTAAATATTTATTTGCCTTGCATTTGGGAGAGAGGACGCGGCGTGTTCTGTGGCAGCTGCCTTTTATTTTTTCCTCTGCCTGCCGTCAAAAGAGGAGCATTATGCTGCCTGCGCTACGTATGATACGAGCCATAAAATAGTCCCCGCTTAATATCTATTATTCCAGTGTGTCAGTTTCGAGCTCAAGTTATCGCGCAGTCAAGGTTGGTGTGAGTGTGAAGAGTGAAACGCATGCTCGAAATTATACGCATGTCTATGGGAGACCTAAAGCATACGCAGTCGTTTATTTTGCTCCGTTACTTTCCTGCTCTAAAAATAGAAGACTGATTATGAAATGGGTAAATATTTGGAAATTAAAGCTGGAACAGAATATTATTGTGCTACAATAGGCCAGAAAATATATTTCGTCGAGTTTCTACTCTTTCAAAAATAATTTTTCTATGCTTATGGTCTTGACGCGAAAAACTATGATGAAAATCAATAAAAGCTGGCCCATATGTTATACTATTTAATGCTCCCTTAAGAAAAACCAACAGGGTACTTAACAAGCGCGGGTCTGCGAGGACGCCGAGCTCCCTGACCTTGGCAGCCGCGATTAGTTTGATAATTTATTCTAGGAGTGACATCCTAGCTGAACTATAAAAAAAAATAAAGTGGACACACTTGATGGCACACACAGCAAAAATTCTGAAAAACAAAGTGGATGTTTCTGATTATAATTCTGTAGTGTTAACTTTTTTTAACTAATTTGAGATAGTATTTTATTTCTTATCTAATATAATTTATAAAAATTTATCCACTCCTGTTCCTGTGAAGCCCTTCAAGGAAAATTTTTTTTGATAATTAGATTTTGCTGGGTTTCGATCAAAAAATTTACCGGGAAAATTTAAGATGCTCTGATAAAAATTTATTTTAAAAAAATGTTGCCTCTAATGTCTCAATTTTTATCATGAAAAAATAATCTTTCTGCTTCCGACCACCAGTCTATGCGCAAGATAGAGATAAATGAGTAAGTTGGTGCAAAAAAGATCCGAAACAGACTTGTATTAATTTTTTTAGCTCAATAATATAATTTTTGTGGCAAAAGTTGTAATATTTTGAAATAAATATGTTATCATTGAATTGTTCTTATAATATAAACACGTATGCACCATAGTACAAAATCTTCATTGCCTGAACCGGCCTAAACGTTAAGATTTTATTAAGCTCAGTTTTCTTTAGAAAATATGTAATTTGAACTAAGCCGAGTAATGTTTTACAAAAAATGATTTTGAAATTTTTTTGAAAAAATTGTCAAATATATAATAATCAATTGTATTTTACATCATTGGTAATGAAAATGGTAAAAAAAAACGCCAACATTTTTTTTACACGATTTTCTAAAAAAAAATCAGCGGAAACGTATTATATTACATTCTAAAATGTACAAACACAAACCTTATGTAAGTATGAGGTGCAGTTTTAAAACACAGAGATTCGCGCTGCGTGCCGTCCTTCCTGCTCAACAGTCTGCTCTGCGTCTAATTTGACTACTAAAGGTTCGTGAGTTTTTAAAACATTCTTTTTTGTATAAGTTAAAATTGTGAATTCCGATTCCCAGATGCCTCGTAGTGGTCTCCAATCATCAAATGTTTTGGTGGGGTGAGCCTATGTGCAAAAGTGTAGCGTCGCTCTTCTATTATAGCGTCTGGACGCTCGATCTATAGAGGGGAGGAAGGCGATAAAATTCGCACGCACAAAAAACAACCAACTTGACGCGCTATTTCTGCGCAGTTTGGCGCCAAAACGGAAAAGGGGGAGGTGAGGACATGGTACAGTGGAGCATGCCTTATTCTCCACTCCGGACTCCAGAGAAGGTTCGATTCCAACTCTAGGTGGATTTTTTTCCAGGTAGAGTGCTTTCTCATGCTGGAACTGTGGGTAAAGGGTTTTATTTGCTAATTCGCCGGCTACTGTTGCAGTATTTACTATTGAAAAGGGTGCACTTTGCAAAGAAATTTTGAACAGAATTGGCGCTTAATAGATGTATGTGCGTGTGCGTGTGTTATATAAAAGATACTACGACAATTAAATTGCTCAGGGATCGCAAAAAACAGCCGGTAAAAAAATAATTGTACACTTCAGATTTTTTGCGCGTTTCATTAAAACTTTCAGTGAAAATGATTAATGTTTAATAAATCAATATTATTAAATTACTTTAAATCCCAATTCACCCTAATTGGTGATTCGTTACTTAATTCCTTGCGATATCCATAGAATAGACTGACTAGCTGGTTGTACACATACCGCCATTAAAATTTATTAATCATTAGCAAAGTTTATCAAAATTTTGAATTCCATTTTGTAACACAATCTTTCAAAAGAGAGTTTTATCCAATTTTTATAAAAAAAAAATTATAATTTGAATAGCAAAAAACAATTTGCATAAAAAACTTTTAAAATTAAGAAATTTTTACATTGCAGGCTAAATAATTGGCAATGTTTATTTTAAAATTTATTTCAATAATATAATGGAAATGAAGAAAAATGTCTTTCTCCTTGAAAAATTGTTTTCATAAAAAAAAAACAGACTGCTCTATTAATTTCCGTTAATTTCGTTCACGGTTTGCGCATCTATTTTGTGAACAAGTAAAAATACAAAAATTAAGCAAAGTTAGAATACAATTTTTCAACAGCAGTTTCTTCACTTCCATGATTGCTTCCTTAAGTGCAAGTTTCTTCACTCGGTGTAATGCATACATGAAAAAATATTTAAAGCACATATTTTTAGATTTTATTTGATTCCAACTAACAATATAGAACGAGAGAAACCCCATTTTTCCTTGGTCCTAAATATGTTTGTAACGAGATATCTAATTAACATAATTTATAATAAGTTCACTTATTTTGGCAAAGCTTAAATATTCTTATAGAAACTTGCAAATTTCAAACGATAGTTTTTCATTGCAAATAAGCGTAAAAATTAAAGGGGATTTCTTAATATATTGAGGGAACGTCTAAAGTTCTTGAAACATAACTCAATGTTTGTTTCATATAAGTTTGGCACAATAAAATTTTAAATCGAAAACTATGGTACTAGAAATATTCAATATTTAATATTGCGTGGTTCAGACGGTTGAAACGGTGTGAAGGGAATCACCAATTAAATCACTTCCTACAATAACATTCAAACCAGGTTTTTCAATCGCGATGGGTAAATTGTTCATGATGACCTCAGCTTCTGCCATGGGTTCATTATTTTCAAAATTTTTGTTTCCATCATCATCATCGTCATCACCAACGAAATCAAAATTTACCTCCACGTCTGCCGGGTCTTTGTAAATGTTGTCCTTGCACCTTTCGAGGGCAGCCCGAATTATTTTGCTGTCCAGGGTGTAGCCCCTGTTGACCCAAACCCACGCAACTTTCCTCTTGTCGTTTGTCTCCCAGTAGTTCTCTTGGTTTATCTTCGAGTGAATTTCCTTGTCATATTCCTCCAGGTTGACGCACTCTCCAGTAGAAGGTTTCACCTTGATGCGCTCCACCCAAAGAGAATTCAGGGTCCTCAGTTCTCCAGGCAGGCCGAGCCATTTCAGCCAGGCGTGGACTTCCGTTAGAAAAACTTCAAACTCGCATATCATCTCGCACTGGGCTATAGTGCTAAAGATGTGAGCCTTTTTCTCAAATTCTGTGGTGATGTTGATGGCTAGGCCGTTCATCATATTGAAAATACAGCAGGTCATGAGAAAGATGAAGGCACCGAAGAGGAACTGCAGGTGGGGACTAGCCTCGAAGCTAAAGGTGTCGAAGGAGATTTCACCCATCATCATCGAAGGCACCTTCAGCATGGTAGTGTAGATGGTCTCAAAACCTTTGGCACACCCTTCTGCTGATCCAGTTTCCAACTTGCACTTGTTTGCCACAAGGAAGAAGCCCAGGGCAAAGCCACCAATGAGTCCTATTGCAAAGATGAGGAACTTGATATAGCGCAGGAGAATCTTGACAAGCATGTAGCGGAAGGGGAGGATGGAGGGGTGGTTGGAGCATACGTAAAAGAGAGAAAACCATGAGGCGATAACCACCAAGATGGGGTTGATAGCGTCCGCCAGGTACATGAAGGCAATCACCCACAGGATGTACTCGTACCAGTCGGACCAGAGAACCTCTTCCCAGTAGTACTCGAGGAGAAGTTTGATTCTGCGAAGGTTGATATTGGCATTGACGTAGGTGGAGGAATTTTTGAAGAAGGGTGGTACCAGGACAAAGACAGACAAGAGGCCAAAGAAGACTTGAATGGCAAGGAAGACGTGAATTCCTCTCCAGGAAAGGTCCATCCAGCTGTCATAGGGGATGGCCAAAGTTGAATTGTCCACTATCCTTAGTTCATGTTGCATCATAAGGATGGGGTGAACGGAGAGGGAGAGCACAAAGGGCAAGAAGAAGAGTAGCTTCAGCAAGAAGAATTTTTTAATTTTCTGCCACTTGACGGAGACGAGGGCCTGGCATAGGGGATGGAGTGCCAGTTTTTCGACGATGGGAGTCTGTGCGATGGCTTTGATGTTCTGCATGTCACTGCCGCTGGCGTGGTGACCGAAGGGGTTCGTGAAGATCACCTCAGTGTGGTCCTTCCTGGAAGTGTCACCTTTAGTACGTTTTAGTTTGACAAGGTGAGTGTGCTTGTCGAGCAATGTTTCCAGTCTCTGTTGCGAAATCCAATCAATGGGCGCATTGCCTACTTCATTTTTTACTCCCAGCAGGGCGTTCGCCTTAAGAATTTTGGCCAACCATCGGGAGCTGGCCTCTTTGCTGATGTAATGAAGTGCCGTGTCGCAGTCTTCGTCGCTCATAGTTGCATCCGCCTTTGTCTGCTTGTCCAGGATGAGGCCCATGCATTCATATCTGGTTAATTATGGAAAACATTATAGAAAAATTAAAATCTCTGTCACATATTATTATCAAATATCATTATAACCATTATTTAAATAAAGATCAACATAATTATGGAAATCGAGGTTAGATTTCGTCTAAATTTTTTGGCATAATATACAGATTTCTTTTTTCGGTTCACTTGGGTTCACTAATTTACTTTATTTTTAAAAAAGTGTTACCCGATTTCAATATTACTGTTTATTCATACTATAAACTATAAAAAATATAAATAATTCACTTCCTCATATGCAATTGTCTCATGTGGATTTATAATAACTATCAACTTAATTTAAGTTAATTTTTTAAGTTACTTAAAAAATTCAGTTTTGATTTGTTTTACCTGTTGTTCTTGGCCGCATAGAGAATGGGTGGTCCAAACTGTCCCTCCTGCTTTAGGCACTTTTCCTCATCAAGATGCCTCCTGTAAATATGGTTGAATGTACTCATGTCACCTCCACTTGCAGCCCAATGCAAGGGTGACTCTCCAGCGTAGTTCACCAGCTTATTAGGATCTTCAGGATTCACTGTATCTAAGATATAGTCCACACACTTCGTAGATCCATGCAGGGCTGCAAAATGCAATGGAATGTTTCCTCCTATCTCCTCCTGCAGAGACAGGTCCGAGACATCGATAAATTTGTTCTCTAACAGGTAAGCCAAAATGTCATTGGTTGGGTTCATGGCAGCGTAGTGAACAAGACTGGGTCCTTTTTTGTCTGCAATGTCTGAATAGATAGCAGGGGTGGTCCAAACACTAATCGGCAAAAGCGCTTTCAATCGCCCAGCGAATAAGTCATCCCCATTCTGCTGGTCGGAGATGTCGAGAAGGGCATAAAACATTTTGATGGTGGCGAATTCGCAGAGAAGTGCCAAAGGGGTGGTCTCTTCATTGTTGTAGGTCACCTGACAGGTGAGGATAGCAGCGACTTGATACTTGGTGTGAGAAACGTCCTCGATCAAATGAAGTTTCTTTGCTTTTTTCATGACTCCGACAACATAGTGTTCAAACTTCTCTTCAAATGACAAGTTTGTGGGGCAAGATTCAAAAATACCCTCTACTTTAGCTTTCGTGTCAAAAATTTCAGTCTTCTTTTTCAGCAAGGCTTCGAATATTTCAGTGAAACTGGTATACTTGTCATCGTAGTCAAGATCCAGCAAAATCTCTAACTTTCGGATGTCTTTGGCCACCAGCCGCTGTACCAGCATCTTTCTGAACAGTTTCTGCTGCAACTTGTAGTCGTCCTCTGCATTACTTTCAGCTGACTTGGCTATGGAGTCAACGAACTTGCTGAAGTTTTCATACTCAGACATGAAAGTCAGAAGCTCGTCCAAATATTCTCTCTGCTCTTTAGTCAGCAGATTGGATTCGGTGTACTCTTTTCGACTCTTGAATTCCTTTAACAAGTGCCAGTGCTGAAAGAGTTTGTTTGACTTGATCCTTGAGTACGTTAACCTGTGCTGCTTTCTTTTCTCAAAAATGAAGAACTTCCGGACAGCGTCCAATTCCTTAATGTTCATCAACTCTTTCAAGTCATCGGTTTCATATTTAAGAATGAGCTGAACATACTGGCGCACCTTGTAGCAGTGGTGGATGCTGGCGCAAAGATACCGAGCTCGATTTTGAAAATCTGGATTAAAAATTAAATTAAAACTAATTAAATTTAAAATTATATTGAATTTTAATTTTTAAGTGCTGCAAAAAATTCCCAAAAGTATTACCTTCCTCGGTTAATTCAGATGATTCACTTTCATTATCAAATGTTTCACTCTTCTCCAATAGATTGCAGTGTTCTAAAAATATAATCAGAAAAAAGTTCAAACGAACTAGGATAAATGAAAATTTGTATTCAAAACTTTTTAAACCAAATTAATTTAATCTTATGCACATGTTTATTAATAAGCATATAAAAACAACAAGAAATTAAATCTATACCATTTTTCTCAACGTCGTCTTTTTCAGCAGCAATTGCAGAACTTTGAGCACTTACTTTATTCCCCATTGTTCTGAAAAAATCAAGAAATAAATGAGAAATAGAAGAAATAAAATAGTGGATTTGGGGCGAAAAAATATTAACGAGTTCTACTACTTTGTGCCCATCCTTATTTCCTTATTTATACTTCTATCGCTCGCGCTAGAGAACATGATAAAGAGAAAAATTGCACTAAAAAAGAGCTAATCATTTCCTCAGATTTCTTTAGGGCATAATAATTTTATAAAAAGTTTTTAGGATCAAAATTGTGATATGCGTTGAATGAAAATGTACTATACATAAAAATAATTTTTAACTCGTTGCTGATTTACAAAAAGATTAGTTTTTATTCATTTGCATGTGAATTTTTTTTCACATTTTGCTTTCTTTAAATTATAATGTGAATTTTTATTTGCACATTTTGCTATCTTTAAATTATATATGCTGCAAATATCAGCTTGATCATTTTATATCAATGCTGCGCCTGCTGCGGTACAAAGCCTATCAATCGTCTGTACACAGCACGCGCGCTTAAGCCGCAATGTAAATCTTTGATCATTAAAATCCTGCAATTGGGTCTTACTCCTATCTTGAAACAGCAGTGTTAATATTTGAAAGTGATTAGATATATAGCTGTCTAATTTGAAGGTTTTAGTTTTTAGTTCAATGATAATTCATTTTATAGTACATGAAAATTAAAATTGTTAAAAATTAATTCCCTGTAATTTATGAACATATTATATAAAAAAACAAGTGCACTCGAGGAGAGATCGACGTTTATAAAAAACATTTTTCCTCTGATTTTTTTTTCAATTATTAATGAAGACGGCTCTATTAGTTCCAGTGACCCTATTGGATAAGCAAAATCTCTCTACTCCCTGATGATGAAAAAAACTAATAATAAAGATTTTTCAATGAATATGAAACCCCGTTTTTGAAACTTTGTTAAATTTAATAAATAAATTTTAATAAATCCAAACAGAACTTTGAAATCAATTTTGATTCCATTCAATACATACAATAAAATGATACATACAAACCCTTTTTAAGAACAAAGGCTCTTAAAAAATATCAGCGAGTCTGTCTTGGTTAATGGCTGTAGAAAATTTGCGACTATGTGTCTAGTCCGAGGCACAGAGAGTTTGCAAACACTCTGTAGCAAAAGTTGTAAATTCTGTTGCTGGGACCTCCCATAGGCCGTAATCGTCTATCACTAGCGCCTTATCTTATATATAATATAGCTATTGATTATATTTGAGTTTTGCGCAGACGCTTGACAGGGAGAGGAAGGAGATGAAAGCAATATTTGGTGTGTCTGTTTATTTAAGAGAAATATTTTTGTATTAGACTGACCGAAGACAGAACCCAAAAATATGCTGTAAATTTTTTACTTAATTTAAATTATTTTCAAAATACCTTCTTATAATTATTCACAACAAATGCACTCAAATATTGATGATAAAACATTTCTAAAACATTGCAAGAAATTCTTTTTGAAATTTGAATACAGTAAGTAGGTTTTTAAATATTCCAAAAAAAATTTCAAACATCTTGTTTTTTTTTTTAAATTTTCAATGCTTATTGCTAAAGGATGATTGATTTATGCGAAATTATTATAAATAAAATACATTTAATTGAATCCTCATTTTTGGATAAGAATTTAAACCCATATTTTATTTTTAATTTTTTCCAGAACGAGTGAATGACTAAAAGTGGTCAGTGGATGAGTCTGTGGAGCCGGTTGCATAGCCACACGGCGCGCGCCCACAGGTTGCCAACGCGGATCCGCCCAATGCTGCCACCTGGCGGAGGGGTCAGGGCGCTGCTGGAGGAGCGGACTGCCGGCGAATCGAGTGCAGGTGAGTGGGCGACTTACAAAGTTGAATTCAATTCAATTGTGTTTTCCTAGCTGCACCGTTCGTCGTTCGTTCACATGGTTTCGTGTTTGCGGCAAGTTTGGTCGCGCGCGCCGTGATCACACCTTCGTCGTCGACCGCAATTCGGCCCGAACGGAGAGCAGCGAGTCGCCGACCGCGTTCGTCCACCGTCCCTTCAGTCAGGGTGAGTCTGAAAAAGCAGGTGGAATTTGGGCTGTGGGAAAAGCGGCCCCAAGCGGCCCATGTTTGTGATTGCACCACCCGAATTAAGCCAATTATGGGGGTTGAATGTGGCTGTCGGATTGGAATGTGCACCATAACCACTTGTTGGGGTTTTCAAAGGAGAGTAAAATTTGACTGGCAACACATTTTATTTTTTAATTTGGAATAGTAAATTTTTATTGAAAGAAAATAATTAATTTAAAAAAACAGATTTAATTAAAAAAAATACAATATTCAATAAACAATTTAATAAATATGCAATAATAATAAAAGACAAGCTATTGAATTATTCCTTTTAGAGATTTTGGTGAAAAAATATTTTTCATTTGCTCTTTAACTGATCTTTTCAAAAAGCGTTTTAATCTGATATCTCTGTATTCAAATTTAAAAATAAGTTAAATTAAAATCAAAACTTGCTCAAGCTATTATTTGATTTTTTAATGCTTTACTTCAGCAAGATTTTTCTATTCTCGACAATAGATGATAATGTATACAAATTTCCGCAAACTTTATTAGATTTTTTATTTTTATATGAAAAACTTAAATAATTTTATTTTTGCATTAATAGTAAAGACTAATTTTACTTAAGGTGCCTTATTTTACAAGTTTTATATTAAATTATGGCAACACCGCTTTTTGCTTCTTGTATTATCTTGTTGAAAATGGAATATCGAGCGGCGCAAAGATACACTAACAACTTTACTAATGTATGTAATAAAATAATATAAAAGACAGGCTTTGGAGACTCTTCTCCTTTTCCGATCGCCCGCTAAGCAATTATTTTTTCCAAAAAGGGAAGGATCTTTGTCCGTAACTTCAGAAGCTTCTGTTCCGAAGATTATCGATATACATATGACACGAGATTGGTGCAGACAGCTACGATTTAAATCTTACTTAATTAAACGTGCGTGAGCAGTAATTGAAGGCTGTGGGGCTAATTGACAACGCTGTCGTGCTGCCTGTCAAAACATTTACTCACTTTGAATGCAGACGCTCTTTCTTCCGTGTTGTCAATTATTTTCACCACCAATTATCGTCACCGCGCGTCATTTTCTGGCCGACGTTCAATTACGATCATGGGAATTATTGGCTTCTGATTCAACCTTTCTATTTATTATTGATGACCAAACGTGTTCGCTTTCTAACTAAAGAAAAATGCAATTAATATCATTACTCAAATAATTAGCACTTAATTAATCATTTGAAAAATACACTAGAATTTTTAAAATAATTTTAAAAAGTTCCAGGTTTTTGTGTGTTGTGAATAAAATTGTTGAAAAGAATTTTAAAATTTTCAATATAAATTCTACAATTGATTTTTTTTTATTTCATAACATTATAATTGGAATTTAGCATTTTCTCTCTAGAATTTAGAAAAAATTAAACTAATAGGTCATTTCAGTTCAAGCCAGGGTTTAAATTAACAATAAATAAAAGAAGCTGAACTTTGATTACTATGCTAAACTTCGACCTTGCCGAAGGTCCAAACATCACATGGCTGTCAAAAAATTTGCGTAAATCACGAGTTTGTGCTTCTTTTACGATCTTCGCTGTCGGCTACGCAAGCAGAGCATATATTAAGCAGAATTTTACACAAAAATAAAAGTAATTGATGCAAATGCTCGCTCTAAATCACATGGCAGGCTCACTTTGCATTTTATTACACACATTATATGATTTTTTACGACGACTGGAATTTAAATTCATAAATCAAAACGTCCCGCACTTCTTAGCTGGAGCTTTAAAATTTAAGTTGAATGGAAATTTTCAAATTAAAAACGGGAATTAAGGAATTGTTCCGAGAACTACTTGTTTTGTTATTTGTAAATTATCTCGCCTTCTTTTGCTGGAAGAACGGCAGATTTTTGTCCTGCGAGATCGAGAAAGAGCAGCTGCTGACCGGCTCCTCGTTCATCAACATTCCGATAAAACACGCCCGGCTGAAAGACTGACAATTGGTTGGAGAGAAAAAAAGAGTAAGATGAAAATTGTTCTCTGCTGCAAAAGCAAAGCTTTTTTTGCAACACGACAGGGGGATTTTAATTTATGGTCTGCGGCGTGTGTATTTTAACTAAAACGTCTTGTGGAAGCTGCGATTTTTCACTTTTGAATTCACTGCCGAGTCAAAGTTGAAATCACGCCAAATGGCCGTAAATCGACTCGCTCGCGGTTAATTACTTTTGCGTGTCTCTCGACCGCGGGCTCAATTAATTTAGCTCCGAGTGTGTGTGCAAAGGGTTAACAATCTCAACAAATCGCGAGACGTGTAAATCAATCAGCTAAAGTTTGTTCAAGCTATTTATTTAAGTAACTTGAACTTAAGGGTTCACTGATAAAAGTTGAAATTAATAATCAATAAAAATAGTGCAAACATTTTAAATATTTTTACAAACTAATTTAACTTGCAATATTTTAGTCTGTCAGTTCAATAAAAATTCATCTGACAAAAACACAACTTTATATCTGATAGAAAATATGATCTATTTAATTAAACTGACCAATGTTTTATCTTTTTAAATGTAGCCAGTTAATTTAGCATTATTTGTTAGCATTAAAGAAGGAAACAAATTTATAAATTTAATAATTTTTTTTTGTGAAATTATGATGCAGACGTGGTATAAGTTTCATACAAATTTATTATTCATAATCATTCTAAGAAATAAAAGCAAAATAATTCCAAACCGGGGACATTTTGCAGGAATAATTTCACTTTTTATTAGCAAGATTTTGTATTAATAAATAAGAAAAAATTAAATTCTTTGATTGCATCTTTTTTTTCTTCAAACCATTCTCAATTATTTTAAATTTCTTTTGTAATTAAGCGACATAAATTTTCCAGAGTTGTCATCTACTTTTGCGTTTTTGATGGACACTAATTGCATCAAGAAACTTTGACCTTTTAGTTCTGGAAAGCAAATTCTTCCGTAAAACGATCTTCGGGCACACGCGCGTTAACTGCTGTGTTTATATTTTTGTATGCTGCGAATGCAAACAAACCAATTTGTTGCACGATTATTTAGAACTTTAGAACACACAGTCGCCTTTCTCCGCTCGTAAAACGAATAAGAAATCGTGTAATTCACGATTTTATGGCGAATCTCGCGCGACACGTTTCCTCGCTCCACTTTAATTGCGCGCGGCGACAAACCAAATATGCATAATTAATCAGCGGTGAAATCACTATGCAGTGAAAAGTAAAGCATGTAAAATACGAAGGGAGTTGTAAAAAAAATCAGACTTTTCCGCTTTAACGCTCCACAGCTCGTTGACTTCTTTGATTGAGTCGGAACTTCGTGCTGAATGATCGAGATGATCAACAAGCGAGTGCAAACGCCTGGTTTTCCCATTTCAATTCATTCACTCGTCGGTTGTAGTTCATTTGAAATTATTTTGAAAAAATACTTTTCAAAGTTTTACAAACAAATGAAGGATCCAAAGATATTTGAAATGGTGTTTCAAAGTTTCATTGAAAAAATATTTATTTTATTACATTTGGAATATAGTTCATAAAATGCTCTTGATAAATCTTGAATCTAAAAATATAAACTTTGAGAGTTAATGAAATATATTTAAACAATTGCTAATAAAATATGCAAAATATCCATTTTGTTAAACAAATAGATATGACTCTATGATTTGGAAGATAATTATTTGATATTTTGAAGAATGTAAATTTACTGCACAGATTGTTTTTCATTTGGAGACACGGGACTTAAAATTAATACCGTTTGAAAGTTGTTTTTGAAATAAACTTTTATTCAACGCTGAAGAATATTTTTTGTCTCTTATCATTTTAATTAATAGACCGGTAATAAGTGGTCATATATCATTGGAATTAGAACGTTGAAAATTCCTTCCTCTTAATAATATTTAATTATTTTAACACATAATTGGTGATTCATTTATACCACGATTTGATTAATTTCCGTTTCCATGCATCATTTTAAAGATAGACATGACATAACGTCATTAAAATTTTTGAATTGTTATTAAAATTAATCGAAATTTTAAAAGGGTATTATCCAAACTTTGTTTAAAACTTTTAAATTTATGAAATAATATTAAAAACATCGACAGGCTAAATAATTGGCAGTAATTATATAAATTATATTTCGTTGCGACTCGGAGTCTGCGAGTCATGTTATTTTTTTCCCGTCTCGAGTTTCAACTTTTAATGAATCAAACGTAGCCGACTCAGGGATGGGAATCACGAGCTTGGTCTCATCTTGGTTTGATGAACGCCAGATTGATATGTCACGCCGGCGATCGGTGCAGGAAAGAAAAGAATCCGAGTGTCGGGTTTCTTCTTTCTCATTCTTTTCAGTAGCGTCTCAGTCAAAGTTCAGGAGCTGCAGAAATTTATATAATGATGCCCGTTGGTCGTCGTCGTCGTCGTGCTGCCGGGGAAATTGATAATGCGCACGGCGTCATCAGCGAAAAACCGCTACGCTCCTGCAACACAAAACTCGTCCGAAGAATAAAATATAAAAAAAAGAGGAAGAATTGCGCGAATTTCAGCTCACCCCCGGCCGAACTGGTTCTTCATGATTTTTTTTCTCAATAAATTGGTGGCTCTTGTTTCAAATTTTTTCCACCTATTCAATTGCACTCGGTGCAATTAAGCGAGAGACTTACTTAATTTTTTCGTCCCGCACTTGAGCTTGAATTGCAGCATTCTTGCGGTGGGTTGTCGTTTTGAAAATTTCCAGCGGTTTATCAGCACAGGTGTGCAGCAAGTAGGGTTGGTTAATGTGCGGTTTTAAATTAATTATTTGGAATTTTTAATACGGACAGGATTAGAATTTATAGCAGAGATTTCAATGAATGGAAATGCTAAAATTAATTTTGAACCAAATCAAAAGTGGGATTTAATTGCAAATATCAAACAATTATAGTGACTATTTATGATACAATAGTTCACAAAGGCTCAAATTGGTGAGTTTTATAATAATGTTGTTTTATTTCATCGCTTGCAATTATCTCAGAATATTTTATAACTTTAAATTTAATAATAAAAATTATAAATTTTTAGATGAATGATTCATGTGCAAAGAATGTTAACAAATGGAATTATAATCAATATAATGCATTTTGCTGCGTTTTTAGAAGAAATTCCTACTTTTTTTTTTACTTCCAGGAAATAGAATCTGATTGTGAGTCAGTTTTTGTTTAAAATTCTTGCAGATTCTCTTTCTTCATCAATCAAACTACTTCTCATTCAGCTGGAAATATAATTTCTGTCATGAATATAAAAAAAAGATAACTCGCATTCCAATTCCATGAGGTGAAAAACAGAGGAAATGACAAGTAACTTTTCAATAAAAACCTAAAACTCGATTCATAGCAAATGCATTAAATTTTTCTCAACATTCTTGCTTCAATTTCTTGCATATTTAGCAAATTATATTAAAGAAAGGAAGTTTCTTTGGAGAGTATATAATTGAAATAAATTTTAAATAGAAAAATATTGGCGCTTTAAAATTTTTTATCTGTAATTGTAGTAAATTTGCTATTACAATTTTTAACAATTTGATTTTTTTATGTTATAACATTACAATTTTTTACTCTTCGTTTTCGGTCCAGATGCGATCGAGTGGCAACGAAATCCAGGCGAAAATTATTACACACACAACATATCACGGCAGGTTTATTGCGGCGGGATGAGCCAATTTCACGAAAGAGCGATCGGTCGTATATTCTTCTTTTTTTTTGCGGATGTAATTGAGCAATGCTGAGAAAGCATGTGGCTTTTAAGAGTAGCCGGGAAGAGCTATATGCTCGCCAATAAACTTGATGTGGTTTTTAAAATGTACAGTTAAAACGTGCTCGCAAATTGTTTCGTACCGCCGGCTGCGCGAGTTTTTCAAAAGAGCGAGAAAGAAATTAGTTGCGTCTTGATTGAAAATTAGTAAATATATGTGCCAAGTGTGAGAACAGATTGCAATCTCATTTTGCATTCATTCAAGTCTTCTTTCGGCCAGCGGATAAATAAATTGAATTATTCAGGATTCATGCATTTGGTGCAGTTATGTAATTAATTGAAAATTTGTTTTTGCTTTTATTTGAATTTATTCATTTATAGTTAACGTGGAATTTGAGCAAAGTGATTTTGATCAATTTAAATGAAATATCTTATAAAAGAAAACTTCCAAATTAATATTAATAGAGCTCAAATCAATTTATAAAATCACATTTCAAATTGGATTACTCTAAATTTAAATATGATTTTATTTAGGGATTTGAACTTCATTATATATTTATTTTGGAAGTTTTTTTTTTAAATCAATTTCTTATCGTTTCAAAAGTTTGAATTGATATGAAATATTCAAAAAATTAATAAATAAGCACATTCCATCACCAAAATATTAATCAGACCGATTTTTAATAGAGTTAAAATATTTAAATAAGAGAAATTATTTTGTTCAGCTCCGTCTCCTTCCTTAAATAAAATTGTTTTCATTAGTTTGATATGAATTCCTCTCTAATTATGAATTATCATAGGAAATAATTTGAAATTTTCGTTCTCGGCCTGGTGAAACGAAAAAACAACATTTCTTCCAATAAATTTCGCACGTCACGCAACTCAAGCATGATGTATGGCCCGCGCAAAACAACGCCGAACAATGAAAGTGCATCTCGCTGCATAAATTTCACGCCACTCTCACAATCAACTCTCATTCTTAATTAAAGCCGCAAATCATCTCTCTGCTCTCGCTAGAAATTTCCTCCAAACAAATCCTCTTCCTCCTCGCCGACGGATCTTTCCAATCTCGAAAAACATAATTTTATTCCTCGCACGCCAATTATGGAAATGCATCTCGAAAAGTTGTCCGATTCAAATCGGAATGCATACGAGTGCATATTTTGCTCACTCGTAATTAGCGGCGCCGATTTCCCACTGACACTTATCTTGGGAACATGCATAAATATGCATCTTCTTTAATTGCCGGGACCATTTTTATTGAGGGCGAAAAGTCGGTCAGGAAAATTCCACGCTTGTAATTATATTTGTGTAAATTACAATTAATTAATAGACACGACTTTTCATTGTTTGATTTTTTGATATCGTAATTATACTAATTTTTCTTCTGTTGCAGTTCAACTTCCGTGTGATACAACGGCGATGCGGACTTGGTGAAAAGTTGGGATGTCGACGAAACGCCAGTCCGCCGACGGGGGCGTCGCCAGCAAGGGCGGTGGCGGATTCATGTTCGGAAAGGCGCGTTCTAGCGTCAGGATTCTTCGCAAAAACAACAACCAACCTAATAATGGGTGAGTGCAACCCCTTCTAATTTTTCATTATTAATATGACTTTGCAAAAATATAAATGAGTTTTGCAAAAATTATTGGGAAGAAATCAAATTTTCAGTAGTATATATTACGACCTATTAGACTATTCTGTCAAAATTTTTAAAAATAGCAAAAAAAAAAATACCACAATTAAGAATTAAGTTCAATTTCTCAGCAAATTTATTAAATAAATTTACTTCTATTAAATGTTAAATCTCACAATTCTGATGTTTTGAACCACTTTTTGACGAGGTATTAAAAATCATAGGCTGCAGAAATTATCAGAATGGCCTACTGGGTATTTTTAGATGGCTTTTGAAAGCTCTATACATATGTTATAAACTTTGGAAGTTGTATGCATTTTAAAATTCTTTCAGGTTTTTATTATCATGATATTAAGTAATTTATAAATTCAAAAAATACAATGTTATATAATTTTCAGCTGTAATAATACAGATTTATTTATTATTAAGCTGATTATATATTTTCCTGATGTCATGTTAGGAGTTGAAACAATTAGAGTGCTTGATAAATTGACTACATGAAATAAAATCATCCGTTGCATGAAAATAAATAACGCTTGGCGCCAGATAACTCAAATCCGAAGTGAAATTGAAGGTTCGCTGTGGCAAACAACCGGCTATAATATTGTTTCATTCGCTTTTATTGTTCAAAATTATTACTCGAGCGTTGTAAAGCTTTTGTAACTGACCCTGCCGAACCTTCGTCGGACGCCTACAACAAGCTTCAGGGTCGTCTGAGAGATGTTTGAAGAGAAAGCTTTGCACAACTCGATTGTGTACGTATAAAATTCTTCTTCAAATTCGATCGCAGCTTTTATTGGGCTGATGTCACCTGGCTTAAGGTTGCTCAACTACCCTGATCCAAATTCTAATTAATTTGGATTACTTTATAATTATGGAAAACTCAAATGAGCGCAGCTTTCAATTTTTATAAATTAAAAATTTAAATGATTTTGTATTTATATGCGCGAAGGGTTGTAAATTTTTTTAATGATAATTAGAATAGTCATTTATTTAATTATAATTTTTAAAAAAATATAAATTTACGGAGATATCCTTGTGGAATGTTAATCTCTGCCAATAGCAATTTTTCCACCAGATTTGATATTTACCTTGTGGCGTTGAGCGTTTCTCGAGAGAATATAATTGCCGCCTAATGGGGGCACGTCGAGTCGTGTCTCAAAGTCGGATCGGGTGATCAATCACAGATTGATGAGCCGATATAACCGCGAATGCATTCGATCCGGGCACAGGGAAAACGATCTCGGGCGTACAACGAACGCTGCCACGATTGAGATATTTGCGCAATTGCTGGAAAGTGTTGCACTTTGAGAGAGTTAGTGCGCTCGGAGGCGCCCACGCGCACTTTGTGGAATGCAAGTGCGCTACACTTGGCACGAGATGATTACTTATTCGATTCTGGGCGACGGCCCATAAATTAATCTGTCCAACCGGGTTGAGAATAATTTTAAACGGCCGCGGAAAACGAACCAATTATGTGCTTTTATTGCAAGAGGCAGAAATAATAATGTATTTTCTTTTCACAACCAGCAAATAATAATATGATGTCAAGCGATTTGCTGGAATAGTATTTTCAATAGCCGCCGAAAAGAATTTCTAAATTCACCAACAAGGATCTCATCAAATGAAGCAAAAGTTTCTCAAACAACAATCAAAGTAATGTTTCATTGTTGTGATGCGCGAACCTTGTTTGGCCTGTCACTGTTGATAAGCCGATTTTTTGGGCACATTCTTTGGAGCAGCGGCCAGCCCAGTGGGTTGAGGCGCGCACAGTAGGACTCTTGGGTCTGTACGGTAGACAGACCTGCGATACCCTACCCAGCCGGGTTCAAAACCCAACTGGGCTGGCCTTTTTCACATCTTTTCTTAGGTTCAATTGCATTCCAAATCACGTTTACTTGTTAAAAAACTTGCGTATTTAATTATAAAAAATTAAATTGAATAAAATTACAAGAAACAAAATTATATTTTTCGGGCACGCTTTTTCAGTACACGACCTTCAAGGGCTCGATATTGTTCACATATTTTTTAATAATTATTGTTTTAATTAAACTGTGTTTTCTGTACACAACCGGCGAATAATATGGAATGCGATTTGCCGGAATTATTATTTTAATAGCCACCGAAAAGAATTTCTAAATTCGCCAACAAGGATCTCAAAGTGGAGCAAAATTGTGATTATTGCTCAAACAACAATCAAAGTAATGTTTCATTGTTGTGATGCGCGAACCTTGTTTGGCCTGTCACTGTTGATAAGCCGATATTTTGGGCACATTCTTTGGAGCAGCGGCCAGCCCAGTGGGTTGAGGCGCGCACAGTAGGACTCTTGGGTCTGTACGGTAGACAGACCTGCGATACCCTACCCAGCCGGGTTCAAAACCCAACTGGGCTGGCCTTTTTCACATCTTTTCTTAGGTTCAATTGCATTCCAAATCACGTTTACTTGTTAAAAAACTTGCGTATTTAATTATAAAAAATTAAATTGAATAAAATTACAAGAAACAAAATTATATTTTTCGGGCACGCTTTTTCAGTACACGACCTTCAAGGGCTCGATATTGTTCACATATTTTTTAATAATTATTGTTTTAATTAAACTGTGTTTTCTGTACACAACCGGCGAATAATATGGAATGCGATTTGCCGGAATTATTATTTTAATAGCCACCGAAACGAATTTCTAAATTCGCCAACAAGGATCTCAAAGTGGAGCAAAATTGTGATTATTGCTCAAACAACAATCAAAGTAATGTTTCATTGTTGTGATGCGCGAACCTTGTTTGGCCTGTCTCTGTTGATAAGCCGATTTTTTGGGCACATTCTTTGGAGCAGCGGCCAGCCCAGTGGGTTGAGGCGCGCACAGTAGGACTCTTGGGTCTGTACGGTAGACAGACCTGCGATACCCTACCCAGCCGGGTTCAAAACCCAACTGGGCTGGCCTTTTTCACATCTTTTCTTAGGTTCAATTGCATTCCAAATCACGTTTACTTGTTAAAAAAACTTGCGTATTTAATTATAAAAAATTAAATTGAATAAAATTACAAGAAACAAAATTATATTTTTCGGGCACGCTTTTTCAGTACACGACCTTCAAGGGCTCGATATTTTTCACATATTTTTTAATAATTATTGTTTTAATTAAACTGTGTTTTCTGTACACAACCGGCGAATAATATGGAATGCGATTTGCCGGAATTATTATTTTAATAGCCACCGAAAAGAATTTCTAAATTCGCCAACAAGGATCTCAAAGTGGAGCAAAATTGTGATTATTGCTCAAACAACAATCAAAGTAATGTTTCATTGTTGTGATGCGCGAACCTTGTTTGGCCTGTCACTGTTGATAAGCCGATTTTTTGGGCACATTCTTTGGAGCAGCGGCCAGCCCAGTGGGTTGAGGCGCGCACAGTAGGACTCTTGGGTCTGTACGGTAGACAGACCTGCGATACCCTACCCAGCCGGGTTCAAAACCCAACTGGGCTGGCCTTTTTCACATCTTTTCTTAGGTTCAATTGCATTCCAAATCACGTTTACTTGTTAAAAAACTTGCGTATTTAATTATAAAAAATTAAATTGAATAAAATTACAAGAAACAAAATTATATTTTTCGGGCACGCTTTTTCAGTACACGACCTTCAAGGGCTCGATATTGTTCACATATTTTTTAATAATTATTGTTTTAATTAAACTGTGTTTTCTGTACACAACCGGCGAATAATATGGAATGCGATTTGCCGGAATTATTATTTTAATAGCCACCGAAAAGAATTTCTAAATTCGCCAACAAGGATCTCAAAGTGGAGCAAAATTGTGATTATTGCTCAAACAACAATCAAAGTAATGTTTCATTGTTGTGATGCGCGAACCTTGTTTGGCCTGTCACTGTTGATAAGCCGATTTTTTGGGCACATTCTTTGGAGCAGCGGCCAGCCCAGTGGGTTGAGGCGCGCACAGTAGGACTCTTGGGTCTGTACGGTAGACAGACCTGCGATACCCTACCCAGCCGGGTTCAAAACCCAACTGGGCTGGCCTTTTTCACATCTTTTCTTAGGTTCAATTGCATTCCAAATCACGTTTACTTGTTAAAAAACTTGCGTATTTAATTATAAAAAATTAAATTGAATAAAATTACAAGAAACAAAATTATATTTTTCGGGCACGCTTTTTCAGTACACGACCTTCAAGGGCTCGATATTTTTCACATATTTTTTAATAATTATTGTTTTAATTAAACTGTGTTTTCTGTACACAACCGGCGAATAATATGGAATGCGATTTGCCGGAATTATTATTTTAATAGCCACCGAAAAGAATTTCTAAATTCGCCAACAAGGATCTCAAAGTGGAGCAAAATTGTGATTATTGCTCAAACAACAATCAAAGTAATGTTTCATTGTTGTGATGCGCGAACCTTGTTTGGCCTGTCACTGTTGATAAGCCGATTTTTTGGGCACATTCTTTGGAGCAGCGGCCAGCCCAGTGGGTTGAGGCGCGCACAGTAGGACTCTTGGGTCTGTACGGTAGACAGACCTGCGATACCCTACCCAGCCGGGTTCAAAACCCAACTGGGCTGGCCTTTTTCACATCTTTTCTTAGGTTCAATTGCATTCCAAATCACGTTTACTTGTTAAAAAACTTGCGTATTTAATTATAAAAAATTAAATTGAATAAAATTACAAGAAACAAAATTATATTTTTCGGGCACGCTTTTTCAGTACACGACCTTCAAGGGCTCGATATTGTTCACATATTTTTTAATAATTATTGTTTTAATTAAACTGTGTTTTCTGTACACAACCGGCGAATAATATGGAATGCGATTTGCCGGAATTATTATTTTAATAGCCACCGAAAAGAATTTCTAAATTCGCCAACAAGGATCTCAAAGTGGAGCAAAATTGTGATTATTGCTCAAACAACAATCAAAGTAATGTTTCA